GTTGCAAGCAGCAGCTTGACTACGGCCTCTTGTCCGCCCCATGCTGCCCAAGATAGCGGTGTCCGCCCATCATTGTCCTTCGCGTCGACGTCGACCCTGCGTTTCTCCAGAAGCCATTTGACTGCTACCTTATTTCCAAGCTCCGCCAAATAGGATAGTACACTCCTTCGATGTGAGAACTTGAAGCTCCGTTCAAGGTAATGATCTCCTCCTTCCTCGCGATACTGGGAGTGGATCTCCTCAGGATAGCTTACGGAAAGCATGTCCTTAGAGAGAGCGCCCACAAACGTTTGGAGGGCCTCCTTACTTTTGTTTGCCAGGGCTGCGAAGAGAGGGGGTCCATACCGCTCTTTTCCGACCTTAAGGCAAGAGATGGCGGATGGGTGTGCTCTAATAAGGCAGGACAAGTTACGCTCCCCTAACACATACAGCAGGCTCATTTCTTCCGTATGCCTACGTACTTGATGCTTCTCAAATAAGTTGTCCAGCTTAATCCAGAACGTTAGCGGAAAGCTTAGGATAAAGTTTCTTTGAGAAATACCACTTCCTTCTACCATATCTGCATGGTAAAGGACATTCCGCACGGCGTATTCTAGGAAAGGAAACATTCCATTAACTAATTTGCGTAAGTCTTTGGCCTGCTGCGATGAAGCATTCGGAAGGTTGTTAGGGATTTTCAGAGGAAGTAAAACATCCATCCTCATGTAGGTGAGGCAGCATTGTTTTAGCTGCTCGTGACTTTTGCCCTGGAGATTGCTCCTGAGGTTAGGCCAGACGTTGCCTAGACCGTCTTCTTTCAGGAGAAAGTCTCTTACTGACTCGTGAATAAACTGGACTGTCTGATTCCTAGATGTCGTTATCTCGACCAGGCCTTTCGATGAATCGAGTATGAATAGTTTGATCGCATCTCTAGTAACCCCGTTAGGATCCCACTTTGATACTGCTTCAGGCTCAACCCCAGAAAGAACAGCGAAGTACAACTGCTCTGGACTCAATGGCTGCTTCGCGAAAAGCACCCATTGTATACACAGTACCAACTCGTCTCTGTTGTGCGAGTCGCGGGTCAATATATCGCGAAACAGTTTGTGGAGGTCGCCGGGAATCTCCTGCAGTCTTCGCCGAAGTGCATGGATACGACCTCGGTCATGCTCTTTGTTCAGGATGCCTACAACAAGAACGACCCACATAAAGACCCCTGATGCCTTTTCTTGAAGTTCGCTTCGTATTTGTTGCGCAATTTTGCTCTTCTCCATCCGTAACTCGCTCTCTAGATAATTGGCGATGTCCTGACTGTGTCCTTCTTGCCTTTCTAGGACTAGACTTATCCCTTTCTGGATTGTGATGTGTGGGTAGTGTCTGCTCGAAAAACAAACTTGGAAACGGATATTAGTTGACGCTGAGAGCTCGCCGACGCGTTCAAAGAACTGTATCATATCTCGGACCTGCTCTTCTTCGCATTCATCTAGGGCGTCAATGAAGCAGACTACAGAGGACTGAAGACTCTGTATAGCTTGCTCCAATAGCGATTTGAGAGATTCGATGCCCCATTGGTGATCTGGTCTGATGCTCGACGATGAAAGACCGACCGATTCAAAAACGAACTGGAGAGCGGGAAGCCGTTCGAGAAGTTGCAGGAGCAGTGACCGATAAGTCCCTATTGTAGACTTTTCCATGTCCTCACCTCGGGCGTTGAAGAAGAAGGAGACAACAGTTCTGTCTTTCATCGTTTCCCACGCATTAGCAAGAGCAAACTTCATTAAGGTGGATTTTCCAGTTCCAGGCTTTCCTTTGATCCACAAGAAGCCGTGGTGTTCCCCTAGTTTGGCTATATCGAGCCAGTCGATGTACTCTGGCTTTGTTAATAGCCATTTACATGTCTTGGTGTGGGCGTTTTTGATAGTCATCTGGCGTGCATCGATTTGGTCAAATTGCAAGGAATCCAATAGTATCCGCCTTTGGCCGTTGTCCAGCCGCAGTGCCTTCCCGCCTAATGACTCCGTGATCTCTTTATGAAGCCTTTTGAAGGCATTCTCTTCGCCTTCGCCATAATTTGGCAGCATAGTGATACTGAATATACCTAGCAATGAGTATGCTCTGTCTTCTTTGCGCGTTGTGTGGCGGCCTTTAGACCACGATAATCGATCCTCTTTGCTAAACTTGTCTAGAGGAGCCCCCTGAAGGGCGCGGATAGGGATTCCTGTGGTGGCGTGGATGCGTTGTTCTAGAGTCTTCTTGTCACCTAACCGATGCCCCTCTTTCGAAAAGAATGTGACAGTATGAGGAGCTAGGAGCTCTTGCAGGGTCCAGCCTCGGGTAAACCATCGGCTTCGCTGAAAAGCCGGCTCCCAGGTATACTTAAAGGTCTCACTATCTGCATCTCGCTTCCTCGTAGAGACATCTGCGAGATACACATAGCATTGCGCTGCCTTTTGGTACCAGCGAAACATCGAGTTAATCGCACACTGGACTTCGATAGCATCTGCCTTGTTGATGCAGCAGGTATCCACCCAGAAGTATTCCAAACCATCGCGATTGGCCTGTTGTGCGCAGAACTGGATTTTGGCATAGCCCGCCTTGCTCTTACTTTTGTCATTCGGAAATTCGTTGAATGTTACCTCTTCATCCTTCTGCCAAGTATGCGAAAGTATAGCGTAGGGAGGAATTTCGTTGTCGTCATGTATGTCTTCGGTGAAGCTGAGCTCGTTATCGCCGCTGAGCCTTAGGAGTCGCATTGAGTCGTGAACAAGTTCTGGCACACGGGAGTCTGTTCGTTCGGTCAATGGCGACCTTTGTTGCGTGGAGGAGTCCAGTTGTGGAAGAGCGATGGCGCGAGAAGTGATCAGGCAGCTGCAGCAGGCTGTCCTTGGTCATATGGGGCTGGCGGCGCAGCATGTGGCGGAGCAAGGCTGAACAAAACCTACAAAGCGCAAACAAGATTTCTACCAACGTTAACGCACCTTGCTATCCTATACATGTTTATATTCACCACGTTATAAAAAGCTGAGGGCCGAGGTAAAAAAACGTAGCCCACTAAATTATTGCAGCGAAGCTTCGAGCTGCTCTAGTGACGGTGAGATGCTGCCGCTTGAATTGGGAGGCACTGAAGATTGGCCACCTCAGACCTCGTCAAATTGATGATCTCCTCCGATGAAACTAGCAAGGAGGATGACCGGCCCGCTCCTGCCAGGACCTTCTAAGGTGGCGAATTCTGGTGTTTTCAGAGAATTGAGTTGGTTGACGGGAGCCATGGCCAAGGCTGAGGTTTGGCAGGGACGCCTGGCCTGATAGATTTTAGCTCACTAAACAAGAGCCGGGCCAGCTGAGTTCTGGTGCTGCTCCCAATCCTGAACTGGATTTACTTATCTTCCGGTACACGTGAGCGATGCGCAGACCCTAGTTTGATGGTAAAATACCTGTAGAGTCACCTTGTATTAGCAGGGTTTAGTGGTTCGCTTCCGCTGGAAGTACCAATCGACATAGCGGCCTAGAGGGGTTTTTCTACAGCTTAGATAATGCTATCTATAAAAATATAGAGCAATAAATGCTTAACGTTAGCACTGCAGAAAGGGAACTCTATCATGCAACAAAAGAAGGTGCAGAACAAATCAGGCTCAGAAGCAACGATGTAAAGGTAAGTTTTAGGGAAGAGTAGATTATAGACATTTCGTATTAGCTACAGCAGACTATTTTCAAATAATTACAGCGGTATTCGCTCTGTGTACGATGTTTTAGCTACTAAAAGTCAAAGTACCCCTCGTTTGTCTCGCCACACCGTGCGTCTCGCTACGCAGGGATGCACATTATACACCCAATACTTTTAAACAGCATGAAAGCATACGGATGGGCCAGCACTCGTGGATATTGAAAACGGCATGTCCTCCATCACCCACTCCGGTACTATGCGCCTGTGTTATAGCCGAGAGCCCTGTTGCACTGTTTCGTTTCCACTTCGAATTCCGTACAGCCGGTCGAAGATGTTGAAGTTGCTGTAATCATTGATGAGGGAACGGTGCCTAGCACAGGCGCAAAACCCCAAGATGAATATTGATGGGGACAGATGCGGCACGTGCTATTCTAAATCCCAAGGTCGTATGCGAGCAATTTTTTCATAATTTGGTACGCGTCCAATCACCCAGATCACACCCAAGGAGCCGGGATCCAGCAAGGTGCTCTTTTGGCTGGAAAGATATAAGACCTACAAAATCCTCGTGCACTAGAGCCGATTTTGGAGCCCAACTTGCGTACCTAGGTCTTCCCTCTCGAACTTCGCACCGTCAATATCAAGACAAAGATTTGCGCATAATGAAAACCCTCCGAACAACCTTTGTAGCCTCGTCTTCGATGCCGAGGCACGGCCGCAACCCCCGAGTTAAAACCATTAACTAACTTAGCACGTGGCACCCGTTGCTGACCAAGCCAGCGCCAAGACTGTGGACCGATGGCGTCAACATGACATTCTTCGAAATCCCATCTCGATGTTCCCACCAAGCGATGTGACAGCCCCTGCACACCACGAGGCAACGTCCTGACGCTCTCATCTCGTTGGCCGCCGAAAGCCATCTGCCGACGGCTCTTTGAATAAGTCATGACGTGTCGGTTCGCTCTTTCGAGCGTGTATTGCAGGGACGAGTAATATGCCGTGCACGGGACGTGAGCGCACTGCACCGTAGAGGATCACCTGTAGCTATGTCATAGGTATGTATTGCTTTGTGGTTATTATCGTTGAAATTCCCCGCCTTCTGGTGATTTCTATTCATACTTCTCTCTACAAAACTTACTGTGATACCCCTCCTACTTCGCACATTCTACCTTAACGAAATCGCCCAACATGGCTATGTCCCAAGCAGCTCTCAAGGCTGAGCAGGCCATTGGCCACGGCGACAATGCTACCACTGTACAAGACGTTACGAACCCGGACATCACGCCGAATGCTGCTGGCGAGGGCACGATGAAAGCGCTCGCCTGGATGGGCAAGAACAAGGTTGAGGTGATTGAGGTCTCAAAACCTAAGATCATGGAACCCAGAGACGTAATCCTAAAGATCACTGGCTCGACCGTGTGCGGCTCCGACCTGCATCTCCTCCACGGAAGCGTTGTGGAGCTTCAAAAAGGCGACATTCTCGGTCACGAGTTCTGCGGTATTGTCGACGAGGTCGGCAGCGAAGTGACAAAGTTGAGGAAAGGGTACGTTACACGTTGCGCCACGCGCGAAAGCACACCTAACGTCCTCATAGACAGCGCGTTGTAGCGTCGTTCCAGATCGCCTGCGGTAATTGCTACTACTGCGACAAGAAGTTGTCTTCGCAATGCGAAAAGACCAACGCGAACACTATCGAAAACGCCATGTACGGTGGACGCACAGCCGGCATGTTCGGATACTCACATTTCACCGGCGGCTTCGCCGGCGGCCAGTCAGAGTACACTCGTGTTCCCTATGGTGATGTCAACCTCCTCGCTCTTCCCGATAGCGTCCCCGACGAGAAGGGCCTTTACCTTTCCGACGTTCTCTGCACCAGCTGGCACGCAGTCGTCGATACTGGTGTGAAGAAGGGTGATGTCGTTGCCATCTGGGGCGCTGGGCCTATTGGACAAATGGCAGCTGAATTCTCGTTGATAAACGGTGCCTCGCGTGTTATCATGATCGACCAGAACTGGCGATTGGACTTTGTCAAGGACCGCTACCCCAATGTCGACACACTTGACTTCTCATCTCTGGGCAAGGGTGAGAGCGTTACAAGCAAGCTCAAGGAAATGTGCAATAACCGCGGTCCTGACGTCAGCATTGAGTGCGCGGCAGGCGAGTACGCAAAGGGCTGGGCCCACTACTTCGAGATGATGCTTGGCTTGGAGACCGACACCAGCGAGCTGATCAACGAAATGATTACATCTACCCGTAACTTCGGCAGCTGCGGCATCACCGGCGTGTACGTCGGTTTCACGAACCACTTCAACATCGGATCTTTGATGGAGCGTGGTATTCGTCTCATCGGCAATGGTCAAGCACCCGTCCACCTCTACTGGGAGTCTCTCTTGAAGATGGTCGAAGAGGGCAAGATTGACCCGCTGAAAATGGTTACGCACCGTGTCAGGCTCGAGGACCTCGACAAGGTTTACTACAAGTTTGATGAGAAGGCGGATGGCATGCAAAAGGTCTTTGTGGAGACCCAGTTCAGTGCACCGGCATGCAAGGGCAGCCCGCAACTGAAGAGGTTTTAAGCTTGGTTGCGGGATATGAAATTGGCAATGGTGAGCAAAAAGTTTGCTGTGATGAGTAGTCGATATGAGTATGATTGTAAATATACCACTTGATGAATACCAACATAATCACTTTTTAGCTTTCCATGATTGTCTAGTTGCGACTGTGAAATCTAACATCGAACAGAAATCGACACTGTCAACCACTGTCACACGCTGTAAGTAGAAAATTGCACGAGTTTCAGGATTGATCTATCCTGGAAATGGTTAGTTAGTTTCTCTCTCTAATCATTCACAGCCGTTAAATCATCCGACGCGTTCCACCATAAAATCAAATCGTACGATGATTTTACCAAAGTTCCCCACTTGTGTCTTGGATCAGTGGCCTATCAGAATCTCTTGTCAAGCGACTCAAAGCGGGGCCGGACGAGTTCATTGCATGGTATTTCTTTTGTACTTTAGAAGTTCTAGTTCATCACTCGCGGGAGGCCTCAGAGGCCGAACCATGCTTCTGAAGCATCAAGGTGCGATGGAACCGAATGGCCAACACCCTGAGCCCAGATACCTTCCACATTCGGACCGAAATCATCCGTTCTGTAGTTCTTCTCCGGAGTGTTCGATTTCGACGATGTTGGCGTGAGGCTAACATTAAATACGTTCGTCCACTGGTCGATCGTCTCCTGATAGTTGTTGGGTGACAAAGTGCCATCAGTCGATCCATGCCAGATCTGCATGCGAGGGCGTGCACCGGTGTATCCAGGGTACATGGCCCGAGCTACGTTGCCCCACTGTTCGGGACTTGCCTTGCTATTTCCTCCACTGCAGGTGTTATTCCATGCGGCGGCAGCTCCAGAGGAAGAGACAAAGCAGCCAGCCGGTACACCGGAATAGAGAGATACGGCAGTGACGAGATCAGGGTAGGTCGCAGCTATGACATTGGACATCATCGCTGATCGAGGTTAGCCAACGCATGGTACTAGAAAACATTGTAGACATACCCCCTGATGAACCACCCGTTACGAAAACCTTCTTTGGGTCAATCTTGTACTGCGTGATAGCGTATTTGATCTATAACATGGTTATAGATCGAAATTTGACGACGATCAAAGGTACTGTACCATGTTCGCGATAGCATTCGAGTCACCACCTCCATTGTGGGTGAGCGAAGCTTTGCTCGATACATCCCAACATTCAGTTGTGGAACTCGGCCAAACCGTCACATAGCCTTTCTTGTCCGATCCCTGGTGCCATGGGATCTTGCTGTTCTGGAAATACTTTTGCGCAGACGACTGACAGGAATGGATCGCAACGACAAGCGCATCGCTTTTCACAGTGTCTGGGACGTATACCCACCTAATAGCGGAATCAGTTTTGTTTGTCTTGTGCATCGGGGTACCCACATGCCAGGCTTTGCTTTCGCATCGTTGTTGTAGTTCGTCACCTGCGTTAGCGACGCCGCGAGCGCAGAGACTCCATGCAATAACAATGCCACAAGATTTCCACAACGCATCATGGGCATACTGCTTTCTTCTAGAAGCCTCTCTGATATGGATGCGAAGGTCGACTATGTATCATGCCTCGCTCCCCACCACAAGCGGGGCCTTGTGCATTGGTGGAAATTTGGTTGGTGGGAATTGAAAGTTGAATTGACCCGAAAAGCTTCATAAATTCTTTCTAAACTGTACCAAGTTCATGTGTCATGGTAATTATTTTACAGCTGTGACATTGGCAGGCAGATGCACAGGGATCTGCCATCAAGCTTTTGGCTAAGCCTCGAGCAATATCAGCCGGCTGTCAACATACACCCTTGCTTCCCCACGTTTCCACCCAGGTGGATCTCACCTATGCTGCCATATACCAGACACAATCACTTCCACAAAGCTCCTGCAAAATCAGCCCCACGATTTTTCGCTTGTGTTCCAGAGTAGGACGTCAGGTGCTTCTCCCATAGATTGCGTGAAGCAGAGACCGGGATGTTAACCTATTTACCCACAGCAAGCATACCGACAATCTAATCTAGACTGGTCGCATCAAATGCGGGACTTATATACTGCCAGACCTGGGGATGTGGGGAGATACTGTGACTTCCGACCACCACACTTCGCAAAGTTTTGGATCTGTGAGCTCCAACATTCTCCGACTGTTTTCCGGGCTGTACTACGCAATTTCGCATAGTGGATTACGTGCCACATGCTCGGGAACTTCCGCATACGTTTCGTGATCTTACCTTGATAGAGTTGTCGTGATACTGACGAGTTCTGTTGAAATTCTCGCGTATCCACAAGCATGTGGCTCACTGTTATGCTCGGGGCCAGTTGGCTGGCAGCTCAAACCTCCGCCCACGGCGGATGCTTAAACTACACCGTCGGCGACACGTGGTATCCAGGGTACCTTCAGTGCTTGATACCATCCTGTTGTCATTGCTAACATCTCCCAAAGATATTCCCCCTTCGACGATCAAACCTTTCAGGACGCTGCTCCATGGATGGTCCAAAGAAAATGGATCACCAACGACCCCATCTTCGAAACCACCAACATCTCCCTCTCCTGCAACACCCCCGGCACCCCCGCCCGCTCCTCCATCCCCATCCTCCCCGGCCAGAACATCACCGCCGTCTACATGTACTGGGTACACACCGTCGGCCCCATGATCGCCTGGATGGCGCGCTGTACCAACGACGATTGTCACACGTTTGACTCCTCAACGGCGGACTGGTTCAAGATAGGAGAGCGGGGGTTGCAGGATGGGACTATCGAGCTGGGAAACTGGTTCCAGAAGACGTTCTCGAACTGGGATGGGAGTCCGAGTTTGTGGAGTGAGACTGTGCCAAGGGGGTTGAAGAAGGGGAAGTATCTGGTTAGGCATGAGATTATTAGTTTGCATAGTGCTAATAAGCCGCAATTCTATCCGGAGTGTGCGCATCTGGATGTGGGGGGTGAGGGGAGTGCGGAGCCGGGTGAGGAGTACCTGGTGAAGATTCCGGGGGTGTGGAGCATGAATCGTAAGTGATGCTTGAGTCACTCGGTGGGAGGGCGGTTGCTGATGGTGCACAGAGCCGGAGATTAACATTGATATCTATGCGCCAAATGTGTCGAATAGGACTGTAAGCGCGCAAGTTCCCATCCGCAAGACCCAGCTGCTGATATGGTCCAGACTTACACAATTCCGGGGCCGCCGGTGTGGAGTGGAGTTTAGAAGGCGAGAATGGCCAAAGGTTCATGAATTAGATGGAGAATTTGCGAGAATTCACAAGGCCGCTCGAGAATCCAGGAAAATATACCCTGAGATATTCGGTCTGTGATAGTCCGACTAAGTGAACTACTACCCCTTACATGCCTGATAGAACCATAGCCTTCCAGGTAGTGCGGAAACTATGAGGGCTCAGGTTGACGCTTGAAAATCTGCGTAAGCTTCTGTGATTTAGCCTTGTCCCTTCAATAAATTATTTTCACATTGTAAGCTTCGCCATACCACAAGCATGCGTGCTTTCCGACGTCTAGACTACATTCACTTCTTATAGAGAAGCGATCCGCCCCTCGGACTTGCCAGGCTTGATTTACTCGAGTAATCTCCTCAAAGACCTTGTTCAAATAGCGGCCTCCTATACGTCATGCGCCCTTTCTCCGGTAAATAATTTCTTCCACGTGTTCGAGGAAGAGGCCTCGAAGCTCTTAATAATCGTTGGGATAGTTTCTGATACCAGCCGCTAATGGTAGTAACAACAACTCGCCCTTAATTGCTTCGAGATCAAAATCTGGATAGGCAATGAACTCCCTCGAAACAAGGCTTGAGCACGAACGTAGATGAAGCCGCTTGTGACCTCGTCGAAACGATTTTCAGGGTATACTGTGACAGCTTCTGAGACGGAGAATTAGTCGCGCTATAAAACAAGCTTAATAAGTGCTAAGATACTTCACTAGGAAGACATGCCGAGTACCTTGGCTGGGTGTGGCCAGGAAGGATGATCAGGACCAATTACGTTTTCGCCCCCCAAGTGGCGCTAAGAATCCCTGTGGAATATCTACTTCACGGTCCGCTGATGCCCAAGACCAAGATGGCGCTCGGTATGCTGCTGATTTATTGCTGGGGATCGACGGTTCCAGATGCCTCTTGTGCCACAAAAGTAGCCTGATCAAGTCCTTGACCCACAATCCAGCAACATACTCCATACCATAAACAGAAGCAAGCATCTCTGCCAAACCCGAGATGGCAACCAGTTTGTCCCTACCATGTGTCAAACTTCTCTTACTGTAATCTTCCACTATATTAGACCAGAGTTTGACGTTATCAATGTCTTCCAGCGGATCATAGTCTTGTAATACCCGCGCAAAGTTCTCAGGAGACAGGCCAATGGTACCTTCTTCGAAAATTTCAGGCAGCGCTTCGTATGCAGTAGAGACGCGGCACTCCCGAGCAATCTGCTCACGCCTCAAGTACAGTGTTCTTGGCGGAAGTAGACGTTTCTGTAACGTCCAGGCTCGTTTTGCGAGTGGACTCTCCTCGATGAGTGCTCTCGTTCGTTTTGTAATGCAATTCCAGACATACAACTTGTTAATTTTGCTCTGGTCTTCCCATGGCATCGCAGCACTAAGTGCTGTCCCCGTAGGTGGAAACGTCACTTTCCAGACATTGGGCACATCTGGTCTGTCATCAAAGCATAACCCAGTATCGCCATGCAGGGAATCCGATGCCGCAATATTCAAGTAAGAGTTTGAATACACATGGCTCATCTTGACAGCTTCATACTGCCAATCTTCATTTTCATCTTGAATGATGCACAAACTGTCGATCTGGTTATGCTTTGGAGAACACGTTGCTCCTTTCGATTATCACCTCGGGAACATATCCATAGATAATCGAATCCGCGTTGCCACGAGGGCAGCTCTGAAAGTCTTTGACAAGCTTTCGAGCTGAATACCGTTCAGGGAGCACTACTGTGGAAAGACACGTGTGACTGCGAAATGCCCTTGCCGAGAGGAGGATGTTCGACTTTCCAAATTGAACTCCCAGCAAACGCATGTGAGCTTGCTCGGGCCTGGATGGCTACGAATCTTGGAATTTATCGCCACATGGCATTTTGCTGTGACGGTTAAAACCCTGTTCGAACGACGGCGCGTACTCGTGAAAATCCAGCGATTCAAAAGCGAGGATATGGGCGGTTCATGAGCACGTCTTGGGCCAGCCCAAAAGGCCTGCTACCAACCCCTTTACGTGCTCACCTTGCCTCGAATTGGTTTTCTGAAGAGCTTCCACGATACGAAGTATGGCGGAGTGGCGTAGAGGGCCACCAGATTTAAAAGGGGCTTACGGATCTTACATGACGGTATGGTGCCTCGGAGCATTTAAATTAGAGATAAGTTGGCATCATGTGCTTGTGTGTGTGGAGGAGGATCGAATCACTTCCTCGAAGAACGTATGGCGCGATAAATCTCTACAACAACATTCACTGTGAGATATTTGGATGGGTGCGGGGGCGCTGTGCGGGCTCATTGAATGGATGATAAGTGATCTCAAGGCTTCGTACGAAAGTTATTTTCAACAGCATCATGTGATGTTTTCCAGTTGTAAAGCATTATAGTCCAAGGGGACAAGTCTTTTTTTCTTCAGAACCTGTAGCCTTCGATGTCATGAGTATCCGTCTATACCGATACACATCTACTAGACCACTACATAATTATGAGGCCGTATCCAAAAGCATCAGTTTTACCCAAAGGAATCCACCACTAGCCATGAAATCCCCACCTAGCCTCTAGCGGCCCGCCTGTTCATCATGGCCCGATACCTCGCGGCGTAGTCCTCGCTTGCACTCATCTCCTTCTTCCCGCTCTTCCACTTCTCCGGTTCAGTGTTGTCCATCTCCGCAACCAATATGCGGATCTGGTGGCGCACGACCTTGAGCAGGAGGTTGTCGCCCAAGTGCTCTGGGATGTCAACCGCAGGGACAATATGCTTCTTCGTGGCGTCCTTTTCCTTCTCCTTCTTCTGCGCGGCCTTGGTTTTTGCCTCGGACTCCTCAACAACAGCCTTCCCACATTTATAACACTTCTTCGTGCACTCGCACACATCCTCCTTCTTCTCCTCTGCCGCAGCTCCAGACGCAGCCTCAGCAGCCGGCGCTTCCTCCTCCGGCGCGCTCTCCGCCTCCGCCGCATCCACAATCTCAAAGTCGTCGCCCTTGAAACCCCGAACAAGGCTCAGCAGTGCCATCACAAACAGCTCCTTCAGATACGCAAAGCTGAAACCCTCGGTAAGCTGCGCTACAACCCCGCACAGCTCTTCGGGAAACTCCAGCCCATCGTTGCGCCGCAGCAGCTTCTGCCGCCAGTACTCCGCGTAAAGTGTGCGCTCCTTCTCGCCAGGGAGGCGGAAGTGGTACTTGCGGTCGAAGCGAGAGGGTCGCTTTGCGATGGCGGGGTCGAGCTTGTCGAGGTGGTTTGTCGATCCAATCATCAAGATACCATCGTTTGATTCGAGACCGTCGACCTCGTTGAGGAAATAGCTGCGGATGTTGTCATCGACGAGGGAGTCAAGGTCCTCGAAGATGAGAAGGCAGGGCGCGCAGCGCCGCGCCTGCTGGAAGATCTGCCGGATTGAATACTGCTCTGTGTTGCACTTTGTCTCGAAGCTCTTGACGTAGAGGGAGGATACCTGGTCGGGCCGGGCGTAGAGGCTGTTGATAAGCGCCTTGATGGAGACGGTTTTACCGTTGCCGGGGACGCCGTGTAGAATGATGCCACGCTTCCAAGGAACCGCGTACTGTGCGTAGAGAGCTTGGTTATCGAAGAAGCCTTGCACGTCCTGGATGAGGCCAGCCTTCATGTCTGGGTCCAGGATGACATCATCCCAGGAGGAACCCTCGACGGCTTTCCACAGCTCCTTGGATTTCTCCCAGTAGCCGTTGTCGAATACCCAGATCTCCTCGTGAAGGAGCGAGGTCCACTTGCCGGCGGCAAGGATGAGGGCATCGGTCTCGACGCAGTGGCCGTCTTGGACGTTGGGGTCACCCGATGGGGTGCGTGCATGCAGGATGTAGAAGCAGCGAGTTGGGGATTGGAAGGGGTCCCGGTAGATCAGGTGGAAAAGAAGGAATTTCTTGCCGTCCCACTCGAATAGGAACCCAGTCGATGTCAGTACGGTTGACCCAATGCTTGGAAGTAGTGGCATACCTAGCAAAGTGGAACTCGTCCTGCAGCCTGCCAGGGTGCGTCTTCTTTTCGACGCCGCTTCCCACCGGCATCCACTGCCGGGTCGCATTGAAGGTCTCATCATCGGCCTCGTGCGAATATGTCGCCTTCCCTGCAGCAGCGAACTCCAGGAGCGAGCAGCTTGCTGAATCCACAACAGTGACGTGATGCTGGCTGTACCACTTGCGAATGATGTTGAGCATTCGCTGCTTGGTCTCAATGCGCTGCTGACCGGCGTGCTCATTGAAAGCGTCAAAAACGCCCTGCTCAACCGAGTCATTTCTGAAAGCGACCTCGAAGCTTGCCATTTCGGAGCAGAGGTAGAGAAGTGAAGTCACAAAGAATTGAAATCAGGTGTAACCTGGTGTTTTGCTCAATATGTGCGGGAGAAGGTTACTTTATATACACCGAAGCGGCCGCCCACGACACGTATGCGCGCAACGCAACAGCAAGACTGGCTACCGAAATGGCAAACGGTGGACCCAGGAGCGCTCGAATAATCATTCACTAGGGTGATAATCATGTGCACGAGTCTGCATGCAGCCAGGCTGCATCGATCTAGGCAGCCACTTTCGATTGGCCTATCATAGTAATCTGCGGTCGGAACGATTGGAATGAGTGTGGTGGGTTGCGTGGCGTAACTTCGCTTGCAATCGCAGGACAGAGATGACATTTCTGTCATTCATAGGCTATTCACAACTGTCGGAATACGCACGCGCTTTGTTGAGGGTGAACGGCGATGTTGCCCTACAACGCTACTGCGCCTTGCTCTCCCTGCAGATCGGAATCGAGAGGCGTCGCAGATTTACCAGTTCCTCTCCTCATTTGTCCCATATGCATGTAAGATGAATTGGTTGGACGCTGATACTTATCGGGGGTGGTGTACAATTTCACCGGTGAGACGGGCCTCTTGGTTTAGGCCCCTTGCTTCTTGTTTTTCACCGAAATTCCTCTTTTGGCACTCAATATGTTTCGTGAAATGGAACAGTGTACCTACTCAGACTGGGCACTAAAAGTTGCTCGAGCATCTCTATGATTCATAGAGAGAAACTATGGAACGAACATATTCAGCCTCGCAAACATTCTTGACTTGTATCGTGTTGATTCTGCCCCGCATCCAAGCTAGAGAAGCGCACTTCTCCAGAATCGACACCGGACGCTACCCCACGTGAGACTAGCTAACCCGCATTCACCCCACCATTTTATACCTCGCCGGACCAGATTGAGGCTCTTCTTCGGAGATATCTTTTTTCAGCTCGAGATTGTATGCCGCATCCGGCGTCCCCCTCGATCGAGACCAACAAGGCTAAGGTTTTACTCCGGATCATTTGCAACCCAGCTTCTTGATCGGGTATGATCTCACAACAGAGCCTCATTAAAGCTACCAAAGTGCGCAAAATGCATGCAAGCACCGCGTACGGCGTCAGTCGGTGAGGAGCTAATGCCTGCATGGCGAGGCACAATATTGAAGTCTATGAGCACGGAGTTGCCAAGTTCAGGCCTCATCACACCATACCTCGAGACAAGAAGGCTTATTTTTTCATGTAGATGCTTTCATTCAATTCATTTCATTCGTTCGTAGGTGTGCCTTCCTCCAAATGGATTCCATCCCATCCCTCGCATTCCAGCAGAGGTCGAGATCTTATGCCATGCTTGCCAGTCCCTCATTTTACCGAGCGGGCGTGGCTGACCAATGTCATATATCCTCGTTCACGCCCATGCAATGCCGTCCGTGTCCTTGTCGAGAACTCTAGTGAGCAATGCTGGGTCCCTTGGTGATGTTGGTGTCGCCCTGGCGCTCCCTGGCCTGTGACGTATCGTATTAGCACCTATATCCATCTCTAACATCGACCTTTGCCCACCAACGTAGGAAGGGCAAGGAAGGTGAGGGCAGCTTACATCGCTCTCCTGCAAATCGCCCTTCTCCAGAATCTGCTGCACGACGTCCTCCTCCTTGTGCGTGCCAAACTCGTTCTCGAGCGCGCTGTGCGACGCCGTGTCAAGGATGCCCTGATTGCCGTGTCTATTTCCGTGCGTCAGCGATATCCTTTGCGTAAGCAAACACCTTCACTGCATCCTCCATGTCTTCTAAAGGGGGAGGTGTTCCCCAAAGACCGGTCCAAGGCTGACAGGTAAAGTAAGAACGTACTTGTGCGTAATGAACACCTTCCACCCGCCGACAACCTGCGCCAACGGCACACTCTTGTCCCCTCTCCACTGCTTCACCGCATCCGTGCTCTCCACAAAGACAATGAAGTCCTCGTCCTTGCCCTTGTAGTGCACCTTGGTCTGCTGTTCGTTTCCGCGAGGCATGATGTGTTCAACGTGTGACTTTGTTGGATTGGATATTGGTTCGTGTGATCGAGCTTGTCAAGAGGCAGATTGAGTTTGTGAGTCGTCAAGCAAGTGTAGTGGTCTGAGTGAGGGGCACACGTGTGCTTTTGTAGCTCTCCCCAGCTCCAGCGGGGCACATGCGAGAGTCCGACGTCATCGCCAAGACCCGCCCTTCTCTCACCTTCCAAGCCCGAACAGGCACCACACCACAATGGACGAGCCTCACTGTGCCCTGGCGCCGCTGAAACACACGCAAATGCCAAGTTTCTCCGTATTTCCAGAGCAATGATGACGCTATTCACATATTTGATTGCCATCTATCCAATATGCGAGCTTGCGTGCTTTCTTCAAGTCGCGTGCCCAACGTGTGGGTGACGTCATCGACCATCCGATATCCGTAAACAACGCAAACCCTCACCAACGGCGGTATGCGGGTGTGCCTTGCAGCAGGCCCTGTGATCTGCATGTGCCGATTCCCGCCATCCTCTCCTGAGGCGCCGTGAAATCACTATATGTTCCATAGAATGCCTCGCGTCGAGCAAGAATAGTCGAGGTCGTCACACTATACCCATGACTCTCACCCTTCGCGTTTTCCAACGGCCGTAGCCAAACCTTCCTCGATCCAACGATTCGCAATACTCTTATTTAACTCGCTACGCTCCTCTTGCGGAATCATACCCAAAACTTGAAGATCCTGCTTCTGCTCTTCAGAAACTTCTTAGCTGGCGGCGTCGAGCCAAACGACTCATCCTGGCACGTCCTACGTTGGCAAGTGTCCTTGCCGTTGCTCTTCTCGTTCTCCTGACTCTTGACTGGCTTGGATTTACTGTCGGGCGGGCACAATGCTGTGCTGTGCGACGCCATTGAAGTGCTCCTGCTTTCGACGCGGCTGCCAACACGACTGGCGGTGTCCGTCCGAGGCAGGCCGATCAGATGCGAGGACAGACGGCGTGTGCGTTTAGGTTTCCCGGGCGTGCTCTTGTCGCTCCAGCGCTCCGTTCCTGCGGCTCGATTTGCAAGGCGTCGCCGACGGCTTGAGGGCCTTGTGCCTGGTAACTCAAAATCGTTAGGCAGAAAAGCAGCTGGCGCAGTATGGAAGTCCACCACAGCTGGAGCGGGTCGACGGTCTGCAAGAGCCTGTCCACGGAGATTTCCGTGTGACATCTTGTGGACTCTGCTGCTAATAGAGTCTTCCGAGCGCGTGTTACTGACGCCGGAGAAGCTGGGCGAGCGCCGAGAGAAGTTGCTTGCAATGCTCGCCATGCTGAGCTTCCTCATTACCGAGTTGGCCGATGCGCGGAACTGGTTCTCCACCCTCCGGTTCCCCATCCCTGGAAATGGTAAGATGTCTTTAGTCCAAACGTCTTCCAAAGCAGTCTCTAGACGAGTTCTCTCAGCCCTTCGCGGGGCCAAGGTAGGCACATGAGTTGCGGACAGGTGTGATTGCGACCGAGTAACCAAGTTCGGTGCGAACGGGGGTGATGGTTCTGGTGACTTCTGCGCCTGAGTGTTTTTGATAATGACTTGAGTCAAATGAGTTTTCGAGCCTAGGGTCGCTGCGCGGTGGACCGACATGCGTCGCACCAGGCTGTCTGCATGACCAAACAAAGGTCCGATCGATTTGATGTCCAAGGATAATGATGAGAACATATCTTGCATAGTCGACTGTCCTTCAGCGAACTCATGTGTCTCGCATACAACACGTTGGCGAAGCTGTTTCTTCCAGACTTCCTCTTCCTGAGATGAGCAGGCGCTCATGATGATCTCATGCAAACGATGGCCGTGTTCGAACACCAGCTTCCAAGAGTGTGGAGCGGTATGGCATTGCAGACCTCACGCGAGTGAGCTGAGATCTCAGGAACGACGAAACAGCTTACCTCGTCCATTGTCCGTCTCTTCGATGCTTCCGTTAGCGAGCGCGATTGATGCGACAACGCTATACGGCGTGAAGAAGCGCCCTGCATTGGCGAGGACAAGGCAGGACTTATACAAGACACAAGCCATGTATTGTCCTTTGACACGATCAGGAGTCTGATAAGCCACATGAAGCACACCACAGACAAGGACATGGCCAAGCAACCGAAAGACGAGCGCTTTTGAGATGGCCTATGCAGTTCAGTATGCTGCACGAGCCTCGAGCAACTAACATACCTGTTCCTGGAACATGAGACGATCTTGCAGTTGCCAGGTGATTTCGATCAAGCGACGGGTCTTGGGATCGTCCTTGGCCTTGTTGACCTCACGTATAGTCTCTTGCAAGCGGAATAGCGCCTTCTCAATCTCGGCGTGAGCTTCCGGATCATCATATACAGGTGTATGTCGGCAGAGATCACCGAATAAGAGTGGGTACTTGCAAACCCTTTGGATTGGCTAGAGATATCAGCTGAATATAGCAAGACCTCAGCGTAGATTCGAACCTTGATCAATAAATCCGGGAAACTCAAAGCCTTGCGACTGGTTGTTGAGCGATTGTTCTCCGATGCAACGACCTTGGACAGAGCTTCGACTCCACGCTCGAACTCCTGCCAGCCATGGAGGCCTTTGCACGTCGAGGTAAGATCTTGAGACATGGTGGTCCAATGCGCACCGTATTCCTCATACGTGAAGAAACGTTTCATCTGTCAAAATATTAGCCTGGACGAAGTTGAAGTTGGAGACTAACACACGTGTTTGTTGAAGATTCTAGCAATGTCGCCAATGGTTTTCGTATCTGTCACTAGACCCTGCGGTCGCCGATCGGGTGATCGACCGATGTCCAACGAATGTCGAAGCCTTCGAGTGATCTTGTGCTCAAAAAACCGTCCTGGCATCAGGTCTGCGCTATGGAAACGGATGTGCTTCGCTTTGGTGGCCGGATATGCCTCTTGATGAGCGCTTTGGGTAGAGTCTGCTTCAGGGACCACTTGATGAAGCTCAGCAAGCAACTCTTCGTGCAATTGTAGAATCTGAGAGATATTTCGTTGAATAGCTGCTCGTCTATGGGCTGGTAATGCGGGCACGCCGCTGAGGATCATGAAGTAATCCTTGGAATTTGTCAGCTCCCGATGTTTCCTCAGGGTGTCAGAGCAAACTTACATTAACCAAAACTTTGAGGTCGGCAATGTAGCTCTCCTCCGTGGAAATGAGTTCCTCGACAACCTTGCGTCGCTGAGCGGACCGCAGCCAAGCTCCTTCATCGATGATAGTGCTCAAAGCCCCACCATGGCTCTCAGTAGATATCCGTGCTTCCGAACAATGACTACTTCTCTTTCCTAGACGAACATGGTCTGCAAACCCGGGCGTATCGGATCGAGGAGCGATGCTGGCACTGGCCACAGTGATTGATGCAGAATGTATCGCTGTAACGTATCCCATCGACGACGACATGGAGTCAGAGAATCGTCGAGCTCTTTCTGTGATCGGCACAACGGGCGGAAACAGTAATGCCTGGTCATCTATCATCTCGACTGCCACGGAAGGTACTTCGGGCCCCGGATCCCTGTGTCTGTGTATGTGTCGACACCGCAGAGTGCTCATCCATTGTCGGAATGGTTGCGGACTGGCAACATCCTCGTCATGTTCTTCCAAATTCACTTGGGCTTCGTTTGCAGTGTTGTCCGACCAGCGTCCTTCTGGAAGCGGGATATGAATGGCTTCGTACAAGTCGAAGAAATCGGTATCGTCGTCGGTGTTATTGTCAACCACCATAGGCTCCGGTGAGCTAGGGTCGCTTGATAGACGTTCCGAGCCTTGCGTGGTCATCTTTGCTCTTCTCGAATAAGGGTAGGTGGGAGTCGTAATCTTGGAGAACGAAGGAGCTATACGATTGAGCTCACAGCTTCGCTTTCGAGGTACATTGTCGTTCAGGCCAACGTGGGTATGAACATCGGTCTCCGGGACCAGGTCCAACAGCGAATGTGAGCCGGGTGGTGGTGTATTTTCCGTTCCGCGAAGCTGGCCACCGGCCTGGCCAGAGCCCAAGGAGTAGAGTGAGCACGCGGAAGCGTTTCGAGGGGTAATGTCGCGGAGAGCCCCAAAGGCGACATCTTTGAGTGGTGAGCATGAAGCTAAATAGGGATTGTCGCTGAAGGAGCGCTTAAGAGGGCTATGCGGCCGGAGGGACAGCACGTAGGCCATTGCAGAGTTGGTGGCAGTTTAGGCACTACTGCATCGGTGAAGTAGGGGAGGCTGTCGCTGCATGGGAGATAAATATTATTCGGATGCCAAAGTCGCTAGCCAAAGGAACGACGAGTGCTCTAGAGGAGCCTCGAGAAGGGTCTTGAGAGACAGCAACGGCTAAGCATGGAAAGGGGCCGACTTGCATTGAAAGGAAGGCGCGCGGTGACAGTGCTTCAGAGGAAAAGAATGAGCGGCAGGCAAGGGCTGTCGCGTGGGTGTCTCCAGGTGCGAGGGCATGGCAAAGTCTCAGTGGAAAGATAAAGACGGTGCGCGAGGTCATGGCACATGCCGTCTCGTTCGTCGAGCAGGTGCGACATTGTACTTGGAGCTACTTGCGAGGCAGTCGCCATCAAGCTCTTACTTGTTCGTAGTCGATCTCTGCTCGTGTCGCCGTCTGCGAGGGATGATTATCTAGAGATGCGCATCAGACAGTCACCATTGCCGACACGTTCCTACGATGTGTCCTTACGCAGAATTGTTACCGCACGGATGTACCTATGCGGACATGTTCTGATGTACTACGTCGCGTAGATGGCGGACGTCGACGCGATTAAGTCCAGGCAGAGAAGCGCTAGCCTCCGAATGTGTTCTAAGCTTCCCCTCCAAACCCCGCAAGCTCACCGTGCCTGGAGCTGGAAAAGAATCCAACGTCAACACTCGGTAAGCTCATGGGAATATCTATGGACGATCTTCACGCACCGACTGTGGCCTCGGGCCCAACGACTGGAGGGTATTCAAATGGCGTGTCTAAGGACCAGCTGTCGCTGCAGGAGCTCATGGCGGAGAAGGACCGCGTCGAGGCAGAGCTCAAAGCTCTTGGACAGGTGCTTGATTCTGTATGGTCTTGACTCTGCGCATCACTGGAGACTTGTCTAACTACTCTATTAGCACGGCGTCAACATGAACACGACCCTCACCACGTTCGACGGCTTTCCGCGCGCAGACGTTGATGTTGCTCAGAGTACTACCGCCACCAAGGGGAGAGAGGTGTGCTGACGGTTGGACAGTCCGAACAACGCGCGCACGCATAATCCGGCTCAAGAACGACTACAAGGACCTCATGGCGCGCATCGAGAAGGGGCTGCACGAGCACCATGCGCGTCTTCAAGAGCAAGCCCAGAACAACACAGCCACCTCTGCATTCTCGCTCAGCGCGGGCGGTGCTGCACCTGCGGCGGTAGAAGCGCCTTTCGCAAAGGTCAACAGCGTCGTAGCAGGCAGCCCGGCCGAGACAGCAGGCTTGCAGGTAGGCGACAGCATAACAAAGTTTGGTTGGGTTGACTGGACAAATCACGACAAGCTGGCACGCCTCGCGCAGGTGGTGTCGCAGAACGAGGGGGTGAGTGATGATGGCATACCTAGGGCGCGCATGCCCGAGCCAGCTTGCACGGCTCGGGCTGCACGTCTGCGTGGACAATGCTAACGGGCTACAGCTTCCCATCATCGTGAAGGCGCTGCGGCCCAGCGCTGCAGGCCCGGCAGAGACAATCGAGATGCGCCTCACGCCGCGGAGCAACTGGGGTGGCAGAGGGATGCTTGGATGCAACCTGCTGCCGTTGTAGGGCAGCCTCGGTTTGCGGACGTAGAATTGCATAGCATGGAGTTCAAGGAGAATGGGCATGATATCCCGGCGCATGCTACTCTATCCATTCCATAGTAAAATACGTGTCAGCTTTCGCCCAATGTTCATAGCGGCTTGGGTTGAGTGCGCAGGCTACGCTTGCGCTATGTCGCCTGCCTGCCTGCCTGGCGGTTGCCTGTGAAGCAATTTTTGGCTGACTAACCAGCCTCACCGCCCGGGCCGCTTGGCCAACTCACCTAGCCATAAAAACATGGACCTCTGCTTGCCCCACGACACTGCACTCCTTCAGCCCCTCGCTCCCCACCTCGCCCATTAAAGGTACGCCCGCGCACACCACGAGTCCACGCCGCTCACCCTCGATCGCGTCCGGCCGCTGGAATCTAACTTTTCCGCAGTTTCTGCGCAATCACAACATCACTCATAACCCCGCCACAACACACCACACACCATGGCCGAAGCCGCGGGAAGCGTCCCCACCTTCAAGCTCGTGCTTGTTGGTGATGGTGGTACCGGAAAGGTGAGGATTCCTAATTTTGGTCGCCTTTTTGCGCGCTCGCCTTGCGATGGCGGCGGTTCGCAGGGCGATCGCAAACCCCCACAACAAGCGGCTAACGATCGAGGCAGACCACTTTCGTCAAGCGCCACTTGACTGGAGAGTTCGAGAAGAAGTACATTGCGACGCTCGGTGTCGAGGTCCACCCTCTCGGCTTCACCACGGTACGTTCCGCACACTTCTGCGCGCTGTAGACGGCATACTGATAGCAGGCAGAACCTCGGACAGATTCAGTTCGACGTCTGGGACACCGCCGGTCAGGAGAAGTTCGGTGGACTCCGTGATGGATACTACATCAACGGCCAGTGCGGTATCATCATGTTCGACGTTACCTCGCGTATCACCTACAAGAACGTCCCCAACTGGCACCGTAAGTCAACTCTTCGAAAGCGCAAAACATCTGCTCAAATATACCAGGTGACCTCGTCCGCGTCTGCGAGAACATCCCCATCGTCCTCACCGGCAACAAGGTCGACGTGAAGGAGCGCAAGGTCAAGGCCAAGGCCATCACCTTCCACCGAAAGAAGAACCTCCAGTACTACGACATCTCGGCCAAGTCCAACTACAACTTCGAGAAACCCTTCCTCTGGCTCGCACGAAAACTCGTCGGCAACCAGACCCTTGAGTTTGTCGCCGCCCCCGCCCTTGCCCCCCCGGAGGTCCAGGTCGACCAGGCTGTGCTTGACCAGTACCAGAAGGAGATGGCGGACGCCGCGCAGATGCCTCTGCCCGACGAGGAGGACGCTGACTTGTAGATACGGTCTTATGGACTCGCCTCGGCAGCATCCAAGGGCTGCACGAGCGCTGCGACGGATTCACGAGCATGATAACGGGCATCTAGCGTTTGGAATAGTTTGGGGGCAAGCATGCGTGCGGACGAACGAACATTACTAGCGAAAATGGGTCTAGATGAAAGGAGTAGGTGTGGGTGGGTGGAGCTTTTCTTCGAGCTTTCCTTCCATTATGAGACGCTGGAATAGCTGGCGTTTCCGATGAACAATTAGAGCCTCGAGGCGTGCTCGAGATCATACCCTTCGCACTTTCCATTGTGTCTGTGATGTACAGAAGGCAACTCTTGGCATCTGCTTCACTTGTCGTGCGCAGGTGCGCTTCGGGAAAGCTGCGAAAAGTTTTGCGCACGCTTTGCTAACCTCGCATGTGCATTTGACGTCATTGTCTCCATAGGCTACATCCAACACCACGTGAAGCTTACGAAGCCCATTTGTATTATTACGATTAACATTGAAGGTGCCGGCGCATTATCCCCTCCAAACTGCAGCTCCCAGATAACCACAGTAGGGATGCATACACATCATTGCCTACCAGCCACCACCCTCTGCCACCCTCCCGATGCACGTGCACCTATCAGTCCAAGCGGCAAATGACTCTGCTGTCCGAAGTGATGACAACGTTGACCGCACACGAACCGCCCTCGTAATGCTCTGAAAAGTCGACCCAGCAAGTTCCCACGACAGTATCACCTTCCTTGACAGTCGCATACCCCTGTCCCTGCATCTCCGGCGTCAAATCGAAAGCACGCTTGCAGTCCCCCTCCGCGGCGCTGACAAGCCTGAAGGTGCGGTCGTCGCAGTAGGGGAGGTCCTTCTCGCACCAGGACTCCTCGAAGTCGGCGAAGCGCTGCGCGCCGCAGCCGCCAGCGTTACAGTAATTGGATACTGTGGCTATTGGGGTGGGAAAGACGGTCAGCAGGAACGCCGGGTTTGGAATTGGGGTGAGGGGGTACCGCGGGATATGTATGTACGCACCTCCAGTTACTTCCACAGGCTCGCAACCCACGCCGGGGATGCAGTTGAGACTGATGCGCTGGCGCTCTTGGGAGAGCGTGAAGAGCTTTGGATCGGTCTCGCGGGCGAAGAGGCTGTTGAGGGGAGTGGCGGCTGCAACGGCGGCGAAAGCCAGAATGGCAACGGCGGTTGAGGGCTGCATCTTGGAAGCGGGGACTTTGGTGGGAGCACAAAATTCCTGTCGTAGACTCGAGTGCGCTGAAGTAGTAGCTGCTGGGTAAGGATATCTGGTACCAGTTGCTGCTCCTTATATATCTACCCGGCGAAAGTAGTCTTCTCGTACCTCCGCAACGACATGTCTTGGAAGAACGACAGACTCTTGCATGGCATCAGTTCATACGAGGTCCATACGACGGCACCATTCTGTATCGATGCTGCCCAGGAGAGGAGGATCGTGTACGCTGCTTCAGGACGCCGCAGTCCCGCGATCACTGAAGGCCTCGATTAGACAGGATCGCCATATCGTTGGCAGTAGGCTTCAAGACAAGTCCAGGCCAAGGCAGTGACGTCGAACTCAGTTCACTTCGATCGACTCTTCTTGGTAGATACCTTGTTCAATATCAGGAGCTCCGTCCTCGATTGCATCCTTTCGTGTCCGGAAAAGGGTTCGATCATGACCAATAGCCCTTTGCCGAGCTTTCAATGCTATAGTCGCTGGTCATAGAAAGTCAATTGGAGTCTAAGCTCAAGAACCAGAACGCATAACGTCGGTCTTTGCCTAGAACAAACTTCGTATACCCCCAAACCCCCCGGACGCAGTGACGTAGCGTTTGGTGCAGCAGTCCGTGCTCGACTGAGTCGATGGCCGCCAATTCCCATTTATAATTAGAGCTTAGCAATGTTGCCTGAGATTGGCTCCATGTCTATTGGACTCTTTGGGTGCCGAGTATCGACTGGTTATGATCTAAGTCATTTTGTACCGGCGCCATGATGTGGGGGCCGTATCAACACATCCGGTCAGATGTTCGTGAAGTGAACAATGGTGGATGTCTCTTGGAACTGTATCTCGCGAACCACAACAGGATTTTGAAAGATAGCACATGAGTAATTCCAAGGACAAGGTTGCAATCAGGTCATTGTTACGCTTTCATGGTTTTTCATAAATCTACTCTTCGTCTTGTACAGGCGAAGTTTTGTTCTACCCGCCCCGCTAACAATATTAAAACCCCAGCCGCGGTTACATGGTCCACTCCGAAATCATAACGAAAGGCCATTGCTCCGCGATATCCAACTGCAGGCAACAACAAAAACATGCGTGCTGGAAGGTCGCGAAATGATTGTGGAGAAGGGAAGAGAACAGGTATAGCGCTGTTTTGGATATATACCAATGAACTTATAGATGTAGGTGCGCAGTAGGATAGATTACAAAGATCGGGGTAGGTGCGGTAGATGTTATGTCGTATGTTGAAGCTTCCTCGGGGGTCTCATTACGACTTGAGCATTCTGTGCACATGTTAGTCATAGGTACTCGTAGACAGATCGACACGGGAATACTCACGGCGCGATAAGCTGGTTGTACTGCTGCACAGGTACCGTAGCACCCTCCTCGATCACATTCCTGATGACCTCGTCGCCGGCAATGTTATTCCATAGATGGATGCTCATCGCCTTCTTGCTGTTCCACAGCGTGTGAGCTACGCCGCGCACTTGCCCCAGCACCACGTGCGCAATGTCCCACGTATGGCTGTACTGCTGCAGCGTTCCCACGTCTAGACGAATGCTCTGCTTGATGATGTCATCCTGCCCGTCGGGGACGAGGAACGACCAGTAGGAGAGATGCACCACCGACGCCATGACGACGACGCATGTGAAAAAGGGCGTGTGATAGATAAGCTGGCCTGGGAGCTTGATCAGGGATGAGATATTCTCCGCCGAGGTGAGGCACTTGGCGGTGTGGATCTCGCGGGTCTGTGTCGGCAGCAGGACCTGCCCGGGCTGCACGCAGATATTTACGTTTTCGACACGGCCGAAGCCAAGGTTGCTGCGCGGGCGATGCAGCATGATTGTGCTGCCGGCGTTGACCATGTGTGCCTGGAAAAGCACCTCGTCGATGACGCCGTCGTTGTTGACGATCTCGAGCTTGTTTGCGGGGAGGTGCAGACGCCAGTTCACGAGGTATGAGTCTACGACATCGACGGCGTGGTACTCGAATTGGGAATCCAGGCGGGCGACTTCGAAGACTTTGCCGAGGATACGGATGGCGTCGATGAGGTAGGTGAAGGAGGAGAAGATGATTTCCTCGGGGGCAAAAGCCGAGTCATCGTACTCTTGCAGGGTGTGCGGGTAGGGTATTGCGCCCGAAAAGTACTGATGATCCTCGCAGGGGAGAGGGACGTCGGTGGCGATGTCTTTCAGGCGGAATTGCACGCCTGGATTGACGGCTGTGAGCATGCCGTTGACGGTGTAGGAGGACCACCATGTTCGTCTCCAACTTTCTTCGAGGACGCGGTCGTTGTTGCCGTGGATAAGGGCGTAGTCCATACGGTTCATGCCGAGCTCTACTACTAAGTTCTGGACAAGGCCAAAGATCTGGGCGGAACGGGGAACTTCGTTGCAGGCATGGAGACCGACGGCGTAGAGAATCAGAGCTTGCACTGAGAAACCGTCTCTTGGAAATTGGCCACTGTCAATGGTTCGGTTCAGTGCCTCCTTGTACATGTCGGTGGGCATCTCGGCAAGGTAACATGATCCCAGATACTGCACAGCATACTCTAGGAGAGGCGCTCTCCGGTCTTTGAAAAGCTGCATTAACTGAAGCTGGGGCACGCAGAACGGATGAGAGTTGTAAAAGTAGTGGTAGAACGCTTGGATAGGCGTGGGCGGGCCCAGATGGCCGAATTTGTTTAGCCTTTGGGATCCATTGAGGTTGAGCTGGGAGGTGGCACTGGGGGGAGTGACGAGACCAATGGTGTGAGGAGAATTCAGCTGGTTTGCAAGAGCCAATTCATTTGCAAATGCATACTCAGGCGACAGCGCCTGGTGGCTGGTAGGAGTAAGGTTCGTATTGAGCACAGGACCCGATGGAAGGGCATTCGGGTCTGGCACTATCTGATATGAGTGGATGTCGGTTGTCGTGGAGGGCCGTTTACAAACCTGGTACAGGTGCGCCGTTCTCCCCAGGCTTCTTCCTCTTTCCCTTCCACCCACGGCGTGACTTGATGTAGGTGCAGTCTACACCATCAGCCCTGCATCGGGAACATCTCACGCCGCCATCGCACTTCAGATGGCGGCTGCGGCACTGGACGCACGCGACGGCCACGGAGGTGCGCGCTTGGTTTCCATTCTGGGCGCCCTGCTGGCCGTTTTGCTGGTCGGTGGCACTGTTCTTACGCTCATTGTCAGATTTGGGGGTCAGGGCGGGCGGAGTGTTGCTTTGCTGGCTATCGTGAGTGGTAGAGCTTGCCGAGGGCGACAGATGTAGCGCCAGAGGCGACGAGTCGGCGGATTGCTGGGGCTGGGTCCAAAAGGCGGGATCCACTGCAGCCGAGACGGCCATATTGGCCAGCGGGTAGGGCTGCGATGCCATGTTGAAGCGAGCGGGGCGCGATGCAGACAGCGCGCGCAATTGCGGGAGTCGTCCGGACTGCCTGTGGACGCGATCACGGTGGGGAAGTGGATGTCGTGCTGCGGCTCGCATCCAGAAAGCGCGGGCCTGTCACGTGCCGCCTAGCGCTCCTGGTGGAACCACCCCTCCCGTGTTGTGCCGCATCGAGCGTTGATGGCGTATTTGGCGCCATGGCTGCACAGCTCTCCTTGCGCCTGCCCTAGCGCTGCCCGACGCCTCTTTGTTCCGCGGCGGGCGACCGTGTCCTGGCGGCCTCGTTGTCACTCTGCGGCCGTTGCACTGCAGCGACGCGCGGGGCGCAGCGGCTATCTCAGACGCCAAGATACGCGCCTCCGCGGCCCGCATGTCGCGAATCTGCGACAGGGAGCATGGTTCTGTCTGGACAGCAGGTCAGGCGAAACCACATCGCCATCTCAGTCTGCACCGCGTGGAATACACCTGGAAGGCTCGCGCCAGTCACACCACCGTTCGCCACGCTGCCGGCTAGCACATCCGCCATCACTGCTGAATCGCTCGGAACAATGACCCTAGACTTGGTTCACGCTGTAGCGCGCCATTCGGGCCGACATGACCACGACCATGCTCCGCGGCCAAACGCGTTGTCGCATCTCACCCAAGAGTCATGTTTGTGCAGATGAAAGAGATGTTTTGATTACGCCAGGCCATCTGGGGCCAAATATCGAGAAGAACATCTAAGACGCTAGGATATGCAAGTGCAGATATCAAACGCCCAAACGCCTTGCTAAGCCTCCAGAAACCACCTCTACCGGAATGTGGTCTTGGAGAATGTTCGTCAAATCACACGAGCCCGCTGAAAATGCCTCCCCATGCCAGCTCTACCCCTAGGTTTCCATCTCGTCCGGTACTGGACACCTTCCTTTGGTAAAGTTCCATACGTCTACCGAACAGTCCCTCAACGTCTTCTGTGCCTTCCACGCAAGCTCGGTCTCGGCTCGCTGAACCTCTGCAACACAGAAGCCAACGTCACCTGCTCTCCGGCCTACCTCACGCACAGGAATCGCTCTTCCAGAGGTACTCTGCAGGCTCTCGTGGACTTCTCGCACTGTGTGTCCCCGGCCAGTTCCTGATAGTGGTTAGCAGTGTTGTTCGAAAAGCTTCAGGTCAAATTTACCCAGGTTGTATGCCCGGAACGGTGCCTTCACACGACCAGCTGCGGACGCTGCCAAAGCAGCAATATGGCCTTGGGCTAGATCGACGACATGGATAAAATCTCGAACAGCTGTACCGTCGGGAGTATTCCAGTCGGTACCAAAGATGTCCAAGACGGGCTTAGCGCCTGTCAGGACGGTGGCAATTACGGGGATGAGGTTGCTCGGTTTCTGGCGAGGATCTTCACCCAGCAATCCCGACTCATGACATCCGACCTAGCCAACCCTCATCAGCATGTCTCCAATCGGAAAATGCGGGCCACTTACCGGGTTGAAGTATCGTAGGGCTGTGATCGACCACGATGCATCTGACCGCGCAATGTCCGCCAGAATGGATTCGCACATGAATTTCGATCGACCATATGGCGAGGTGAGGCCCATCACTCCGGGCGTCGCTTGTCGCTCAAAACCGTCGCTGTCGATGAAGGTCTCGTGGTGGTGCACGCAGAGCTCTTCACGCAGTGGGGCCCCACAGTTGGCGCCTTCACCGTACACTGTTGCCGAAGATGAGAAGACAAAGTTCTTGATACCAAATTCCTCGAGCAGACCAAGGAACTCCACCATGCCGCAAACATTGTTCATGTAATATTTGAGTGGCATACGGATGCTCTCCTCGACCGATTTGTAGGCAGCAAAGTGAATTACGCCGGTAATTCTGGACTGGCGTTGAAGTGTCTGTTCTGGCGTATCTTCTGGTTCCATGTCGATACCGGAGTCGGTGCGCTGAAGAGCTGAATACGGAAAAGGCATCGTTGAAACAGCTACAGGCTTACTGCATATGCTGTATGACGAGTAGCTTGCAAGGACCGATCTCATCATCGGGCTTCTGTAGTCCAGCTGCTGGAATTGCAATGCCGGCATTGGCTTGTTGAGCATCGCGCAATGTTCGGCTGCTAACGTCTGGATACGGTGCAAAACGCTTTCGTACGAGTTGCTCAAGTCGTCAATGACCAGGACGTTGTAGTCCGCCTTCAATAACTCGAGCACCGTATGAGAGCCGATGTACCCAAGGCCTCCCACCACCATGATGAAGGAAGGTGAAGCATTTTCGCCAATGTCCAATGGATCCGCCGCAATCTCTTCGTCGAACAGGACTGACCTCTGGGTGTCCGGGGTGCTGACAGCTTGGGGCGACTCGGTGACTGACAATGAGAAGCTGGAAGGAGACGATGCTCCCGTGTTCGCGTCGAGGTAACACTCCATTGCGATATCGAAGAGTTGAGAAGATTCAAAGAGTGACTGCGATTCTCGACGTTACCTGGAACCGGTACGTGCTATCGCCTTATATATGTCGAAGCTTTGAAACGGCTCACGAAGCATATCCCGATCTGGTGGAGTATATTTCGATGCAAGGTTTTTTCAGTACCGCCCAATATCGTTTGTGCTGGGCCGCCCCTTGGCACGTTCCGGCCGCTTCATCCCGATTTATTCTTGTCAGAAGCTGGCCCTCCGGTCTAGCACTCTCGAATATAGGCTTTCCTCGGTTACATCCCTGTACAATTTGTACGGCATCACACTGGGCTACGTATTCCCATATGGTGCGCAAGCGCAGCTTCCAGATGCTTCTCTGGGTTTTCCGTAGGCCATGCAAGTAGGATCTGGCTGCAACAGGGACGCATACTGATGCCGCCTGGTCTGGCCCACAGCATCACGCCTACATCCGCTCGTTTTACTACTTTTGGTCTCACACATCTAGACAAAACTTCGCAGCATGCATTCACAGATGCTGCACCCTCTCCGGTCACTCCCCGGCTAGCCTTGTTCAGTTCTCTCAACAGGCAGGTAGGTACACGTGCGCGATTAGCCACGGCCGCCTCCGTTATTCTCCCGCTTCACGATCTCCCCTCGACCGGAGGGTGGCCTCCCGTCTTTCAGCTGTGCGAAATCTTCCTGGAGCATCCCGTCAGTTTGGTTCGAGAGGCATATTTCTTGACCAACGAACAGCTTCACTGCATCCACGAGTACTGGTCACGGCAATCGAAGACCCGAACAATGAACCCGGTGGTACTGTTGCCGCCGAGGGAGGGCTGCTTGCATGGTAACCACATATTATACGCAGTCAAGTATGTATGCATAGTCGGTTACGTGTCTACCACGTGGTGCTAAAGTTTTACTGTTGAGCCCTTCACGGAGCTGCAGTCTACTCGGGAAGGCGTTTGCATGATGCCCTGCTCGCACTTCTGTATAGAACGATCATGGTATGTGCACCAGAAGCTGCCTCCCAGGGACTGGATTTCTCAGCAGCTGCTTGGAAGTCATGCGTCAAGGGAGGGCTGCGATGGCCAGGGACGCTCCTTTCATTTCGGCATTGGGCATAAGGCAGCACTTCTACTCCCACCCGACGTCGGTACAGGCGGCGCAGGCTCTGCGCGTCGTATAGAACTCGTTCGCCCAGCCTGACCAGGTTTCGCGGTGGTGGACCTGGCAACCGGATTGTTCAAGGTTTCGGCAGTTGCAGATTTTGCCACTAAAGGTACATTGCAATGCTTGATCCAGGCGCAAAAAGCGGCATGCTGTGCGAAGATCCTCGAAGTCTCTACGTGCTCGCCGTGGTTTTCGAGAAATTTCTCGTCATGAGACACACTGAGTACATACTCTATCTCAGTCGACACAATTTTCGAAACTAGTTTGAACGTAGCCGCGCTTACGTGGATCAAAGGGAGTATCATCACGAGCTGTGCTTTCTCGAAATCATATCTGGAGCCAACAAAAATACAACGAGCACCTTCCAAAGTCCTCTCGTCGAGTTTGAATGTACTCCTCCCTCAACTCGAGTCGGATCGAAGCACTTTCGAAGCATAGCGCAGAGCAGAAGGGACAACAATACGCTCAGAATTGCTCAGCGAGGTCAGGTTGACTCCGTACATTGGGTCGGGCTCGGACTCCGACTCACCACCGAGCAACCACTGAAGCGGTCGTACTTTGCAAACCCAATCAAGCGTGCGGTAGCACGTCATGTTCCTGACAATCATCGTCAAAGCATCAGTCACGAACAGTGGCATCTGGTTGCGTGCGTTAATCATTCCCGATCAGCTCTCATCACTCAGACGCTTGACCATTCCGGCGGGATGGTAAGATTTGAGAGGGAGGTTGAATGGCGCGAGTTGAGGTGACTGGCCCAGTGAATCGGCGTCCTAGTCTGCGCGGACCGTGAGCCCGATGGTGGAAATTGCTGTCGCTGAGCAACGCCACCAGGAACAGGAATGGCCAGATCATGAGAGGGTGTGCGATCGCGAAACAAGCAATGATCACTACACCCTCCCCTTTCCCCGCGAAACTCCAAGTCCTCCACAACCTGGCGGCAGCGGGGCCTCTCGCTGCTTTTACACCCTTGACCGGGGAGGCAGATCCCTGACCAATCCTGGTACTGACCCCATTCCTGGGCGCGCTAGAACCCTACCTCTGCGCCTTTCCTGCATGAATTGCAGCGGTCAACCCGTCCCGGTGCCGGTTGGCCAGCAAGCTGTATATTCGTCCTATACAGCCTCAATTCGCTCCCCACAATTGAATCAGGGCTTGCTATTGCGCCTTCGGTGTTGACGTGGCGTTCGTTGCCGAACGCCTCCGGGTCCGAGGTCTACAAACTGGCGAACTTTGCTGTGACAATGCTTGTCATCCCGGGAATTTTGAGGCCAACCAGATTGGCGACGCGGCTCTTCGCAGACTTTCGAAGCCTCCTCCACTTTCGAATAGCTTGAGGCGAAGCCGCGTGTCAGCACCATTAACTGATTAGGAAATGTACCGGCGCCACGGCCAACGACATGATCGCCATCCGCCACCGCTTCAATACATGCACATCTGTTGTACAACGTTGACACGCATACACCGTATTCGCACGAACCTCAACGCTGAGTCGTTTTGAGCACGGAGCGATCAGGAACGCTTTACATTGAAGCGACGAAAATGTTGTTGCTATTCATGGACACGGCTTTCCATATCTGCACACCTCCAAGAGCGTAGTTGTTCGGATTCAGACACCATGAGCCTATTACGATATTTTCTCAGATTCAGCCCCAAGCGCTTCGTGATGCAGGCCAATACGAACGAGGGCTTTGTTCAGGCATCTGTTCTCGGAGTGGTGTGAAAACCATCTTTACCTATGCATGTTCTATTGTTTCATACTCCGTCAAGACTCTAGTGTGCGTGTTGAGAACTACCAGGATGGTTCTGGAAGTCTTGCTGATGCCATGCATAATGGTAGAACAACTATCGATTCTGCAAGTGCGACTAACACCTCCGCTCGTGCACAAGTCTACGCAGACCCCTCGATGCTTCTTGGGCTGCATGTCTCGAGCTTCTTGTTTGCCGTAGCTCTGGCAGGAAGGTGAGATGGATCGAACATCACGACATGCAGAGCTTCTCGCGGAGACAACACCAAGTGGTCACGACATGCAGGATGCATTGCCGACCCAAGATACCGTAGGCTGCTTGCAGAATCGCATCGTTAACCTAAGAGGGGTGGTAATTTCAGCATTGTTGTTGTGCTTTCCCTCTGCCGCACAGAAATACCTGGAACAAAAATTCGACACACCGATCGGAATCCGTGACGATTGCTGCAACCCAATGTTCAGAATGTATGACTTTTTCCATGCTGAGACGCATTTCACACACGACTGTAGAGTCCGCAAAGCTTTTCACCAACATGGCCAATTATCCATTAGATGCAGTCTACGCTCGTATCGACCAACAGCAGCAGAATTTTACGAGGTGTCTTGGCATCGCTGGCCCGGTGCAAGCAGATTGGGACACATGGAACACACTAAGAGAACAATCTTTCCCCAAGCCGTTCCTAGGCGCCGAGCTGCAATGCTGATCGCGCTGTTTACGGTTCGGACATCGGCTGTGGTTCGGAATGCGCATGCTCTAAGCGAGTTTCTTGCCGTGAACGAGATGGGTGCTCTCATGCACGAGCAAAGCCGACAGGCGTCAATAGACTCGTGCATGCGCAAGAACACTAGTTCTTTCACCTCCTGCTCTTTTTCAACTGCCCTCAACAATATTTTTGAATTAGGGACGCGTACTCCCTGCTTTGCAACGCCTGGCGGAATTTGCAGGGTTCTTGAGTATCCCTGCTGGCGCCCTGTGCCGATCTCCCTACCCTAAGATCTGGTACAATTCTTCCGCATTTCACCCGTTCGCTGGACCCCGGTCCTCGATTTACCAGCACAGAATCCACCTCCTCGATCTGGTAAAATAACCGCGGACAAATCCCCCGCAGTCTCGACTCTAGCGATGAAGAGTTGCAGCACCTCTGCATTAGCGATGTTTGGGCCCTCATCAACAACATCGCGATGTAGCCCATGTGTCGCGTAGGAGGTGTTGAGTTCCTTCGCTCGTCGTGTTCGGACATGGCGTTCTTGGACACGGAGACTAAGGAAGTGGATCTTCTGGCCCACAACCTTAAATCCACGGTTCTAGGGAACTTTGGACACTGCAGACCACGGCCTTTGAAACGCCACCTTCGTCAAGAAGCACGCAGAATGACGTTTCCGATGAGGCTCAAGTCAGATGATTGCCCATGATCAGCAGTGTATATTGGAGCTGCGCTTTACGGCCGTCGCGGATGATATTGGCGAGGGAAAAGAATCAAATGTTCTCCTCAAGCTTTCACCCGCACTTGCCGCCATGGTGTGTTTTGCCGCACCGGTACATGGCATTCAAAAAGCCTTTCTTCTTAATTGCGCTGACGAAGCTTACTCTGACATGCCTGCGCCTGCTGCCCACGCGCTGCACCCCGCAGTTCCCAAACTCGTCGGCAGAAATGCGCGACAAGATACCTCAACCAGGTACCTCGCAGCCGCATCGGAGCTTACGGACTTGTGTAGGAAGGAGAATACCGATGTTCTGTTCCTGCCGTGAATGGTGTTCCACACCCACCTGCCTTTGCGTCTTGCGCGCGACGGTGTTCAGGTTCTCTTGCTCTCGTCAAACCTTGCACGAAACCTTGCGCGCGCGATCATGCACAAAGCTTTTTAGGTCCGCGCAAATTCCCTGTTCCGTAGCGTCACCGCTTGCAAAATCCCTCGCCCTTATCGCACCTTCAATTGACCGGTGATGTTGATGACATTGGCAGGTAGTCGGACGTTTCACCTTGCAGAATCCGTGCTGTTCACTGCCGTGATCCTCACAGCCTCATCGCAGTACTCCACCCACCCATCCAGGTCCATCTTCTTTAACACGGTGCTGAACCCGCCGGAGCCTGCCGCAGCACCCTGGTCCCCGCAGTACTTCTGCACGACGCTCTTCTTCAGCCCGCTTTGGTCGCCTGCCCCATCGGGGTATTCGATGTGGAATACAGGCTTATCGGCGGCGACGAAGGGTGCAAAGGTGTCGCACTCGCTCTCCTCGACGCACTGCTCGTTGACGGAGAAATGAACGATAGGCAGTACCTCGGCGATGATGTCGCCGGCGTTCTTGAGGCCGAGCGCGAGATGGAGCGGGACCGTTAGGTTGGAGAGATAGGCCATGAAGGCGATGCTGTCGGCGGCGGTCAGGCCGAGCCCATTGTCGTTTTGCTACGGCACAGTCAGTCCTGCGTCCAGTTTTTCGCACCTCATGTCGATATTGCACTGTCCTGGCAGCAGCAACAACAACAACAGCAAACAGACCGTGCAAAGGGACAGCCAACTCACAAATCCGTCAACATTGTCCGGATCCACCCCGTCGCAACCCTTTTTCCCTGCTAGCTCCACCCTCTTCTTCATGATGCCCCTTACATTCTCGCTTCCCAATTTCAGCCATCTTTCCCCCGGCCACCCATCCAACTCCTTCCCCATATCCTCCTCCTTAAAGTCTCCGCTGTCTGGCCGTCTAGGCTCATAGCTGCCCCCGCTGAAGTAGCAAATCACTTTCTTGCCAAGGCGATGCAGCGTTGCGATTGTCTCGGCCGGTGTATCAAAAAGGTCGATGTCGTAGACGGCAACGTCCGGAGTCACGCTCGTGGCGTCTTTGTCCAGTATCATGTTGGACTGGAGGATGATCTGCCATGTGTCGTTTACTTTCGGTGTCCACGTGATATTCCCTGTAGGCGTCGGTAGGGGCGATGAGGTGGGCGCTGGCGATCCATTGTCGCCACCACCGTTTCCGTCGTCGTCACTGTCATGCTCGCGCCCGATGGTCAGGCCGAGCCCAAGGCCCAGGGCAAGCGCCAGCACCGCGAGCGCAAGCGCGCCGCCTAGGATGAGTTTCCGCCGGAGAGACCACGGGCGGCGGGTCGCAAGCTTCTTGGAAGTTACTGTTGTTTCGTTCATTTTGCGTGCAGCACTATTGTCCTGCGCTTCTGACGGGACGGACACGATAGCTTTTGTATACCCAGACGAGAACGCTGAAACAAAACGCGCACACAAGCAAATCGGAAGGATGTCCGTTTCGGGCTTCCAAATGAAACTCTCTTAGGCAATAGGCAAAACAAAACCGTTCCTTATACGCAGCGACGTATCAAACTCGTCGCCAGCGTCCAGCTCGAGGCGCAGGCAGAGGCGGTGCGGTGCCTCTTCGGCGGTTTAGCATACGCAAACGTAAACAGTGGCAGAGACAGGAAAAAGCGAAAGCTGTGCAACGTTCATCTGGCACGGGGATTGGGTAGGTAATATGGATATGGGATGGGACGTGCTAGATGGGGCTTAGTTTGCAGGCGGGTAATACGGATCGTGGCGCACGGTAGGCGCTTTGTGGGGCATGCTGCTGTACACATCGAGGTCTGCGTTCGGCTTAGGTAGCTGGGGGCTTCTCAGATGGACGTTGGCGGGTGTAGAGGACATCGATCCACGATGATCGGTGCAGGAGTAGCATCTGTCCGTGTCTCAGACCCAGCGTGTATGATCTTGCTCATCCGGATCACGCAAAAGCTTTCAATATACTAAGCCACCCGCGCAATAACAGCACTGTTCCGGACCGCAAGAGAATTAATCTACCTGCATCTCCATCCAGCTAGTCCGCAGCTTCCTCTGCTCGTGCTGTGGCTGAGCCTCGATCCCGATTTCTCAAACGACTCGCGGAACGAACACGATCTACCGTGCTAGTTTTCTCGCTCACCTTTGCAGAACGCACCAGCACGTACGGGCTGCGTACATACGAGAAACGGAATGCCGGGTCGTCGCGTCCTCAGCCGCACGCATCTCGTGTCCAAAAACATCACGGAGAAGGAGGACGTCTGCGCGGCGGTCCGAAGACGAAAATCGCGTCCGTGAGAAAGGTACACTAGTGCCCGTGCGTCGTGATTGGCCGGTGCGACGCCACACTATCCGCTTTGGGGGGCAGCGAGTTGGGTGGCATCTGGGCAATGCAATTGTATGCAGTGGGTGCATGTACGGGTGCCGTTGTTCCCGCAAGGAAGATCTTACGTTTCGATTTGTATGATGGAGAACGGTGGGGAGCGGGATGAGCGCGCACGGGTGCGGTGTGTGCAGTTGGACCATGCTGCAAAGAACACACTCCAGGGCCAAGCTAATCGCTTTGTGGACTCATGCGAATGTCTCAGGGACTCGTCACAAAGGAAACATATTTTGCTTTTGGGTATAGCAGTTACACTACGTCCACCATCTCCACCGTCTAAGCGAATGCATGCATCTCTCTCCCCTTGTATATCTAAACGTACAATCCAAACCCAATCTACAAGGGCAACGCCCTGCTAAATGTGTACGTCCGACTCGCGCCGCTCATAGTGACCCAGTACGTCAGCGGATCCGTGCCAATCTGCTCCTTCGTCGCGCCCGTTGACTGCGCAGGCGTGATGGGGAACGTCACAGGAATCGTGGTACCGCACTTGTTACCGCCCGCGGTATAAACTGTCACGCTTTCGATGCCCTTGCCGTCCGCGCTAGTTTGCCAAGTGAGACTGGGGCGGCACTGGTCGCGGGCTTGGCGGGCGAGGAAGGTTGCGGCGAGGTCGTCGTGTTTGAGGGTCTTGAAGGGCCAGGTTGTGCTAGGAATGTTAGCTGGTGTAGTGGAATGGCGAGACAAATACTTACAGGCGCATGATTTCCGCGGAAACAGTTTCAACCCAGGTCATAAGGAGGGAGAACTGGCCCTTTTTCCCGTTGACGGTGGTTTGGGGGACGTCGTTAACCCGGAGGTTTGCTTGATGGAACATGTAGCTGCGACTTTGGTTAGAAAAGGTAGCTATATTGGTGGATGGACTTACGCGTCCCAGTGTAGGCCGAAGAGGTTGCGTACGGCCGTGTCGCGTGCGTTGGCCAATAGGTCATTGAAAGTGCCCTTTCCGCCAGAAGTGTTGATCCATTCCTGTAGAGTGCACGCCGGAAGATCGCAGTTGTAGTAGATGACCGTGGCCCATCGTGGCATCACATTAATGCCGGCATAGCCGTTGGCAGCTACAGTGGTGTTCAGAGGCCAAAAACGGTTCACAGTGTTAAGTAGTAAAGGTCTCGTGTTATCACCGACAACGTTGACGATACCATTGTCTTTCCAAGCCTGAAGAGCATCCGCGTTGTGCAGGCCAGTGATGGCAGGAGGAATGATACCCTTCGGGCTGAAGCGTGCAGCAGCATCAAGTCCGACCTGCTTCAGCCAGGCCTGATTGAACGAGATCTCTTTGGAAGTATCCGCGTATGTGGCATTGGTTAGATCTTCGTGAGTACTTTTTTAGGTTAGACAAGGTCAACTGACTCGGGTGCAGTGCTTACAAAGTGTGCGAGATGTGGGCGAAAGCGTCACGGTTGGATTCATCTGCAAACCAGTTCAAGAGATCATCAATTTCATTGCACTCCAAAGACCACGAATACTTGGTCGGAGTTGTTGGCCAGATGTCCTTGCCCGTACCCGGTGGCTTGGTATAATCGGGAGGTCCATCGGTCTGATCGGGATATTCGATAGCGGTATTCGGACTGCATGTGCGCTGGCCTTCAGAAGTGTCTGTTGCCGCCTCAATAGCTCCGTTTCCGTTGTGTCCGATTTCGACGAAGTATTCGGAGCCTTTCGGCATCTTCGCATTGAGTGTAGTCTGCCAATCGACATGTGCAGTGAGATCGTCAGGTTTGCAGCGGTATGTTTGGCCAGATGGTGTGTAAAGCGGGGTCTCCAGAAACATGTCATCCACCTGCGTGTTGAAGTATAGCCTGCGGAAACCAACATAGAGACCTCTCGTGACCCAATTGATCCATGCATGTTGTAGGTAGTTCGAAGATGGAGCCCAATCCAGCGCAAACGGTAGAAACCATGCCATCTGTTGGCGCGTGCCAATCTGGTTGATAACACCAGCTGTGCCCGAGTTACTGAACTTGGCGAACTCCCAAGCGATTGAAGAGTTGGTAATTTGTGCAGGGTTGTGGAAGATGCCTGCGATTGTGACGTTCGCGCCCCTGATCAGTCCGTCAGTTACACTGCAGCCTCGGGTGTTGGAGGAATTGGCATTGGCCAGAATCGTAGGAGATCCTCAGACTTATGCGAAGCCAGCGCAAGGTGGGACTCACGATTTCAGACCTGCAGTAGAGAACCCAGTAACGTTGGTGAAGACAACTGGCTCATCCTTAACATTGCCACCAAGACTCACAACCCCGAAGTCGCTTGTGGGGAAAACGTCGAGGCGCACCATGCGCACACCAAAGTTGGTCTGATAGTTATAAAGCTGGTTCCATTGCGCTCTCGTGAGAGCACTGTAGTATTGATCACCGTAGTTGTAGCCAACCTCGCTGACTATAACTATGCCACCGTAGTTTCCGTGTGTGGCGGATGCGTTGAGGATCGGTAGACTGCTTATTCCGGCCTGGGGAACAGTGATTACTTCGAATGGAATCCCATAGCCTTGGAGACCTGACGTGGCACCATTTTGTGCAGATGTGTCGTCTCGTGCAAGGACAAGGATGGTGCTGGAGACAGTCGCAGCTGAGATGGCCGCTGGAGATCCGTCATCGGGAGCTGTTCCATTCTGCTGCGCGAACGTGCTCCCAGTGAAGAGAGCACACGTGAGGAGGAACAACGACGCAAAGAATGATGGCGCCATTGCGTGAACAGTGTCAAAGAGCAACAGCGTGAAGATACAAAATTTTGGGGTCTTTTGTCGTATTAATAAATCTGGGCTCGGCAGAAGGACCACGGTGTCTATTGGGCAATGGCCAGACCATTGGTCTAAATGGAGAATAGAGAAGCATATACGCACAAGCCAGAACTATCGATTCGCAATGCTCACCTGGGTGCCGTTTCCCGTTGTAGAACTGGCCTAGATCTATGACGCGGCATGGTGAGTACTCGATACGCGTCTGGCAGTGTGCACTGCAACCCCAAAGCTACACTGTTTACGGTGTGTAGCGTGAGCAGGAAGCCTGGTGGCGCTGAGCAGATATAATTGGACAGGGTTCTTGGCAGAAGGCCAGTTCAGGCAGGGACACGAGGTGGCAGAATCTGCGCCACGTGTAGAGGCTGTCTTTAGGTGATATCACCGTATAAGAAACGTGACAGCAAGGCATTGCATTGAGCATGCAGGCCGGCAGAAGGTGCAGGTGGACAACCGGGAACGTGCCACTGTCTGGGCAGGCTGTTGGAAAGCATGGCGGAGAACACCGACTTTCCTAGACCTAGACAGAGAGGACCGCCGGGAGCATTTCGGCTGCACAGTTCCGCAAGAGCTGGAGTGCCGTCGGCTCTGGCAGAGGTGAAAGGATAACGGAGGCGACGCGTCCCCTATCGAAGAAGTCGTGTGGCCGGCCGCCACGCAAGCTCGTCATTTGGCAAATCGGCAGGTCGTATAGGTCCCTGTCGCTCATGTCGAGCATACGCCCTGTATAGCGTTGAGACATTGATAGCATATTAAGTGCATATGGAGAAGGTGGTTAGGCTAAAGGCACGGGGCCGATTCCCGCGCTAGTTAGAGCAGCATCGTGCACGGGCCGGGCACTAGCGGGTCGCCCCTGCCCTTGTTCAGCCTCGGCGCACGGGCCCGCTCGTCGCTGGCGTCACGCTTCTGCACGTCGTGACTGCACGTATTCACCGTCCTCCTTATACTGCCGCCCTGCCCCGCTCACAAAGCCGGCCGTCGACGATAGATTGCAGCTGGACACCCTCGCGGCTTGGCTGCCGAAGATGTCCACTCTCCGTCTGGCAGGGTCCGGCCGAAAGGCTGCGGCTGCGCAAAGTTCCACTCTATGTCCGTCGTTCACTACCCAATACGGCAGCCAAGTTTGGTATCACAAGCTTCTCGAAGGATGGCAATGCTTCGTCGCTGCATACCCTGTCTGTCCGGCGCGAGACATACGGCAGCATGCGGTTGTGCGATTAGCTGACGTTGCTGCTGGACGAGAACTAGACACATGACTGCTAGTACACTTCCTCTCTATGTGCATCTACCCGGCTCATGAACGGCTAACCATAATACCGGCATTTATATGCCACCGCTCTATAGAGAGCCAATGCGGTAGCGAGTCTCTCACTCACACAATTTCTGCTCAGTCGTCCACCAGGACACCAGTATCAGTTAGCATGAAACATTGCTACTTTCTTTAATCGCCATGCCTTCGCATCTTATCAGACAATTATTCTAATCGTACTCTCGTGTTGACTACGTCTCGGAACCAAGCTTTTGGGTTGGCTTCGCTCGGGCGTGGCAACCGCCAGAATTTGTGTTCCACGGTTGTCTGCATGACACGGGAACATGCCAAACATACTCGGCATCACTGCTTTCAAGTCTGGTGTAGAGGTACACAAGTGGTGGGAATGGACACTGGTAGCAATACTCGCTGCGAGCGCTCTGATCGGAATCGTTGCACTCATTTGGAACTCTTACGATAGCATCAAGAAGCTCCTCCAGGTGGGTACCAAGGTCTTCAGACAGCCATGAAGCTAACCATGTTCACCCAGCACGACTCCGACGATGACCTTCTACCGCAATCAGTCCAAGAACGTCTGCTAGTACTATCCCACACGGCGCATTGCGTCCGGCCAAAGCAGCCTCTTCCCGCTAAACCGTCCTCGTTTGGCGTATACCTCGGCCTGCTCAGTCTACCTGTCGTACAGGAAGACAAACAGATACTGGAGTCATGGGACATGGTAGTGCTCGACCTGGGCCAACCCGGTGTCTTGGAGGCGATCAGCGATGAGAGCATCGCTCTTGGACCGCACATCATTGCGCGACTAGACCTTCTCAAGATTCTTCCGTTCGTCGCCAAAGACAACGAAATAGACATGTTGAAAGCGATACACCTTGTCTCACTGTTTCTCAGCGGTGCTGTACGGCGGCCCAACGAACGGAGATATTGCACAGGCGTCCTCGTTGCCGGTTGGAGGGACCAAATCTGTATTCGCATGCTCAATGCCCTCGCCAAATTATTTCATGCCTATGGCCTGGACGTGTACCTCGAAGTGTCCGGGCCCGACTTCCTCAATGACGTCGCCAAGCTCAACTTCAAGCTCTTCGATGGCATGGTAGTCAGGAATGGTACAATAATGGAGAACGGGGAGCGAAGAGACTACTTTGCGATGGACAAGATGAAGACGACTACCAAGGCGTTTGTATCGCAGGCGTGCTTGAGACCTTTTCTCACGATGATGTGGGACACAATTGACGACGAAGCTGATTTATCGCACGCTGTCACAAGGAGAGCACACATGTGGTGTAGCTACCACGGCGCGATTCCTTATTTTTCCCGGCGTTGCGCGTTGACCGACATTGCCGAGGTGCGCTCTTGCGCGGAACCGTTAGCTGCTTTCCAATGGCTCAAAGATCGGAGAGTTATGAACGTGCACGAGAAGTTTCGAACCACTCGTGTTGTGAGTTGTACCTCGCTAGGAACTCATGGAGCTGTTGCGCTAACAATAATAGCTCTCGTCCGAATTCTCGAGCATTGTTGATGACTACTTGCCCCTGCAGCCAATATTTCCGCTTCTAGGAACCACGATATCCGGCTTAGACATTTCCGATGAATCCGATGGTGAAGATAATTCAAGCTCTTCGACCCTTACCGTCCAGTTTCCTGAGATTGACGAAAACGGTGCTCTTCTTTCCTTCGAGCCGACGTCTCCTGTGTCGACGGGTTTGAATTGGAGCACTGCCGTGGAAAAACGTGTCGCGAACCCGTTATCTTGCTCCTTCGCTGGCACCCTCTATGGATCTCTAGGGTGCTTTCCGATCGGTTTCGACGCCACTCAGGCCGACTTTAATCATGTCCTTCGGTCACAGCAGCGCCTACGGAAACTCAATTTGCTGAGCAGAATGCCTGCTCAAAAGCTGCATGAGGTCGCGCAGCGGATCCTCAGTTACAGCACCTCAGTATGTCGTTACGTCGACCTGGTCCCGACCGCTCGGGATAATCTTTCCACTTTCGCAAATGCACTCTTGCGAACAAACGATGAAGCCGACGACTACCATCAAGTACGCGTGTTCACTGGCCTTGACTCCGGTTTTCATACCCCATCGGGAAGTCAATTTTGGGCAGTATGGGAAGCTGAGCAAAGAACCTTCACTCAAATTATATACTTATCAAAATCAGTGCAGGACATCGCTGGGGCTCTGTTACACACCTACTTGAGCAAATCGAGCTTTACGAGATATCAGTGTTTCCTCTTGGAGTACGGACTAAGCGAGCATGAGAGTACGACTGGTCAAATCAAAAAGCTTCCGCGTCGAATAGAGCAGGATCTGTCCCTTTTGTCATCTTCGGATCTCCTTATCTACATGCAGCACCTTCAACACACAGAATGGGACGAGTCTTGTCCGTTACTTTCGTCAATACGCAACCACTGCCAGGAACTGCTCATCGATGTCCCGACATATCGGCAACTCAAAAAACTCAGCAACATGGATTACATCAGCGGAGCGATAACAGACGAGCAACTTGTGCATGCTCGTATCAAATGGTACCGGCTTTGTCGCCTGCCCTGTCTCGACCGTACTGAGGCATTGTCGCTCTTTCGACACATCGACGCGAACTTCCGCAACACGCTATGGTGGCGCGACCACAACGGTCTCGACACCATCACAGCCGCGATTGAAAAGCTGACGGCTCGGGAAGACGTCGATTCGGTGACGGATTTCGTTCTGTTCTGCATCTTCTGCGCAGCCAGAAAAGCCGGATTCGAAGAGGTTTACATTGAGGTTTCAGATCGCAACCCCCTGTTCAACCAGTACTCTGACCAGAGCGCTGCATTTGCAGAGCTTTTTGCTTTGGGGTCCCGGTGCGAGGCTTACTTCGACATTATGCCAAGCGATATTGGTATATTGCTCTCGAAGAAGCATCGAGATTATTACAACGAGCCTGGGCACCAGCCTCCGATGTGGATATTTAATGCGCCGTCCTTCGCCTCCGCATACGCTGCAGCTCAAACAGATATCGATCCTGATCAGAAAGCCTCAGTCATGCCAGGCTATCGTCGCTTCACGTTCCTTAGCGTATTCGCTATCCCAGCCCTTGTTGGTGGGTTTGGTACCACGTCCTTTCACATACTTGCTAATTGATTTAGACATTCTACTCTTGTCTACCACGGGACATGGACTTTACCTCAGTGCCAAAATGCTTCCGGAAGAATCCAAATATGCTACATACGCACTAATGACTTCGCTGTTACTATCAGGAGCAATTGGAACATGGATCTCGATCGGGGGCACCTACTACCTTATCTCAATGGCTTTCTCTGCTGCGAACATGTTCGTTTTGACCCGCCTGATCGGTGGTCTCGCCTTCACCATTGCTGCGAGCCTTGTCGGATTCATTGTCATTTCTGCCGTGGATGGCCCTCGGCTTGGGGCAATATACTTTTTCTACTTGGTTGGTCTGACCTCGTATCTCTCTGTATTGGCGGTTCTCTCCACGTATCAGATACCAGGATCTTCATTCCTCAACGGTCGCCGAGTTATCATTGCTGTGGTCCCCACACTAATAATATCGCCAATCATTACGATTTGGGTCGAGGGATACGACATCATCATATATCCGTGTATCCTATTTGTCTTTGTATCTTTGCTTTTACTGGGTACACGGCATGTCGCAACGCAATGGGTGACATGGTACCACGATATCAAGACACTCAATGACTCCGATGTGAAAGACTGGTATGTGCAGACAAGTACCAAGAGGCAGGCGCCAGCACGTGGCGACCGTAATCGTAAGTATGGCTTACAATGCGGCGTAGCAAATATACTGATACCATTTCAGCGAAGCGTTTCAGCAAAGGTCCTCGGACTTCAACGGCTCTGCCCTCATCACTCGCACAGTCTTCCGAGACCGCGACTGATCCATCTGAGCTATTTCATGGTCTCAGTGAACCAGCTATTCTCGCGTTGTGTCGCTCAGAGCTATACAACGCGGTGATGAAGGAGAAGAAACGCCATTTCTGGAGCAGGCCTACTGAAGACGTGTTCGTCAGACAGCTCGCGGAGTGCTGGGAGTCCACTCTCTTCCTACTAGATTGGTATTGTCGACTCACCGATACGAAACGGCCTATTCCTTATAGTTCTACCTGGAATCTTGAGACGCAGGTCGCTCTGGAAAGCATGCAACAGTCACAGAAAGGCATACGCCTGCACAACTCATTCATTCACTGGCGGAATGCTGGCGATGAAGTAGGCTGTGGCATCCTGTACTTTCTCACGGCGCTGATGGATCGCTGGCTTGATCTACTCAATGGTGTTCCCAATTACGGCTTAGGCATAGCGGGGAACGAAACACTCCGTCTATCCGTAGGCTTCGGATTGGCGTATTACCTCATCGGTGCCGTGCTTCTCGACTATAAAGCCCAACATTTGCATCAACTGTCGGAGCAGATGGCGCCAGTGTCGATCGAAAACATCTCCCATATAAGGAACGCCAAATCCAATGATATGAAATTTCGGCGGCATTTATACTGGAACACGCTCTGTCACTTCATCGGTGTGCACGTCTGGGCCTTGGCGGTGAGCGTTGCACTCGTTTGGATATTCAACAGCTCTCCCTTTGGCACCGTCATATTCTTGGCTTACGTGGGATCGTACAGCGGGTTGTTGCTGTACCAGTACAACAAGATCTTTTCCGGCCCACACGCCCTGATGCCTCTTTTGTCCGCTGTCATTCTTGGATTTCTCCTCGGAAGCCTTCTCAGAAAAGCGAACCCAGATTATCAATACAACAACGTCATTGCCCTAGCCGCAGCAACGTGGACTGCAGCTTTGCTTTCCTTCCGCACAGCCAAACTCGGTCTTCCGGAAGCCTTCGACATCAAGATGCTGATAGCCGAGAAGCTACAAAGGTTCCAACGCCGACCAAAGCTTCCAAACGACTCATCCGATTCCGTACATATCCGTGGTCTTCCCTCTCGGTATCGCATCCACTGGTCAAGCGCAGAGAAGTTCCATGCCTACAATGGCACTGGTGTGAATGCTGAATGGAGTCAGAGCGAGCTTCAAGCGTTTGTTGGCAAGCTTCGTGCTGCTCCAAAAGAGGATCGGTATAGAGTTCTACCGTACGGTCATCCCGGGGATCAGGTTACCGCCATCCTGCTATCGTGTACCCACGAGTCACTCTCGCGGCTAGCGTTGCAAGCATATCCTACAATGCCGTTCCTTGTCCAGAGGATCGTTCTTGCGTGGCAAAACGGACTCATCAAAGTATTCATTGTCCCCATGCAGTCGGTCACGGACGACAAGACCGATCTTCGAGCCATTTCGCAATACTCAGACGGGCGCCTGACTTTATTCGTCGCTTCCGACTCGAAAGGAACCACATCGGCAGAGATGAACATAAGCAGCAACTCCCACGTGATTGCCGAAACACTGCTGCACGCATGCGCTGAAACCATGTTTGGTATGCCACATCATCAAGCTGATATCACCGAGTCAATGCTAGTGTGTCGACCTGTAGGGGACGAACCGTACACCGTCTCCGAATGCAGCAAACGCTCGATGCCTTCCAAGTCGGACGGCCCCGAAGCCATGGCGTTCGAGACCCTATGCAGGAAGGAGCTCTTGTGCAACCTTTGTCTTGGACACGACCCTGACACGCAATGGGATGTTCTGCCTCTCGACATACGGAGAATGTTTCTGCGGCGGTGTCTTGGAGCCCGCGGACCATACACTAACACAGAGATGTCCTGGATTCTCTCTAACATCGAGGCCGAAGAGGCTTGCACAATCCTCTCGCGACTTGCGAGGTACGATCTCGGAGCATTTTTGTCCGTGCACAAGTACAACTACTTCAAAAGCCGTGGCGATCAAGCGCTCAACGAAAAGGAGTACCGGCAGATCACTGCGGATATCCAAGAGGCTCACCATCCCATTCTCAACCGCTCCACAACCATGATCTTCAGCGATTACACTGCACGGATCAAAGCGCCTTTCGAATATGTATATCACTCGATTGGTACCTGGATTAAGTTCTTTGTACTAGCGACTATGGCAGACCCGGAGTATCAACGCGAGTTGAATTGCGCACTGAGTAGAACACCAAGATTCATTGCGAAGCCAGCAACCTTTTTACTAACAGGGATCTGGATATACAGTCGAGCGGCGATGTCGATCGCACTTCCATTTTTCCTCTACCACAATCGAAAGGATATCTCCGATCTCGCTAGCACTGTTAAAGGTAGCCTGCTGTCACAGAAGAAGGACAGGCTTGTCATTCGCAGCTACGGAGAGACAGAGACGGCATTCTTCCATGCTCTTGAAGGCCATGGCTTCAAGCTCGTCTTCTACCAAGGCATTCTGAAGCAAGAGCCTACTTGGGGCCACACACGTGTCTCGGAATACGGCAAAGACATGCGCATAACCAATCGCAAAGAGTACAAGAATGGAAATGTTACGAACGAGTTCACATACGAGTACCCAGCAAGACCTGTTTCTCGGTTCGGAAGAATCACAAAGCTCCACAGCGCGAGGCTACCACTCGCACGAAACTGCCTTCAGGGCAGTGATGACAGTGCCAAAGTGCAGTACAATACCAAGGGCCACATTGAGTCCGGAAGCTACATGCAACATGGCAATTTAGTCCGCTTCAAGTATCATTACCGGAAGAATGCGAAGTATGACGACGAATTGCTCAGAGCAGAATTCGTGCTCCCACACATGTCTGTCAACGTTAGTTGGTGTGCGCCTCCGGTACGTCATGCAGAGAAGATGGAGCGATGGATTCCGACACCTCGTGTTCATGAAGCGACCTTTGTGCAGGGGGCCGACGTTTACGAGTGTTCTTGGTTGTACGATCACAAGTTCCACCCAGTCATCTCAACCAAGCTCAACGGAGAGACTGTAGACACGCCTGATATGATACGTCATGATTGGTTAGGTGTCTTGAAGAAGCCTACGCGTTGCAACTTTATGGACGAGAATCCACTCTTGGACTTCAAGGCGCCAACGTCCAGCTTCCTGAGCCGCCTCTTCCGAACCAACATCAAACGACAAGAGATCTCGACCTCTCGAGCACGTTCTCAGCTCTGGAAAGCGTGGAAGAAGCGACTTGATCTTGACGGCGTGGTTGTTCGCTTTGTCGATGAGGAACTTGTCCGCAAGGCGACGCTTTTGCGGCCTTATTGGCGCCGGCGTGACCGTGGAAGTCTCATGAAAGCTGAAGATTACCTAGCACTGCACGCCGATGCGATTATGGCAAGTGCAGATCTCACCAGCGACATCAGTGCCTGGACCCCACTTGCCATTCGAATGAGCGACCTCTTTAGCTTTGGACAGGGCGGTGACGCGGTTATCTTCACGCGCACGAAAACGCTCCAACGAGATACAGAAAACAACCTTCACGTCATTGCTGTTGATACGGGGACCTGGCCTAATGAGGGTGGTGGCGTTTCTGCTTGTCGTCGCGACTTGATCAATAATCTTCGTACCATTAAGTGGCACATGGTGGTTGAGTCTGCCAACGACTTTGGTCTTCCGAAGCACCAGACGGAAGAGAACGTCGAGTCGCTAAAGATCATTCCACTTTGGGGCCTTGACTTCCTCCACCCCTCACACGGCATGTTCACGAACAAGCTGGACAGCGAAGTTGACCATCTGGTCAAGGACGCAACGATTAACGACATCAAAGTGAACTTCATTCCAACGTTGACTGCGCTGGTCCGTGGGGCGCGCTCGGTCAATATGACTGCAGCGGATGTCAAGCAAGCTACACGAGCGTTGGTCAATCTCAATACTTACTTTGAGGATTCCCGCCATTGGAAGGAGGTCTGGACAAGCGAGATTGTCAAAGATACTTGGAGGAAGTTGTGGCTAGCGGACGATATGCCGAACGCGCAGCCACCTTCCGAGTGGTTCCGCACCGAGCTGCCTACGCTTGGGCATCTCGACACTGCTCTGGAGCTGTGGTTCAGATGTAAGGATACAATTACCATCCTTTGAGAGGCTTTATGCTGACCATGCCAGATCTTTTCATCTTCTCGATTCCTATCCCCGAGAAGATTCCGAGCGTTTTCCAGGCCTCGCATCACAGCGTGTCAGCATCCTACGGAATCGTTTGCAAGCTGAAGAGGAACTGTACCCTTCAGATCTGGGATCATGCCATCTCCTGGCGTGAGACGAACCTCTACCTTTCCTCCGCTATGTGTACCTTGCCGCCATTCATCCGAAACTCCCTGCTTGGCCTGATGAAATTGACCTCGTGTCTGATTCTGCATCACGCTGATCAAATTCTCCCTTGTGCAGGTAGGTTGACTTCATGGAATCTCTTTCTGTCTGCTGACCTGTCTAGACTTCTTCAATCCTGGGTGGGAGGTTGAAATTGGCTCTTCTAAGGGTCAACTGACCCACCGAAACGTCTTCCGACGGAAGGTCGATCCGATTGTAAATGGCATACCCGATATGACGAAGTTCGCTCCTGTGACCGAAATCAAAACGAAGTCACCCACTGTTACTATGCTTTCCCACGTGTGGTTTGCAAAAGACATCAAGAACGCACTCCTTGCCGCCGACATCATCTCCAACGAGTGGGGCTTCAAAGACTACAAGCTCGACATCTATGGTGCACTGAACAAATCCCCCGTCTATTCATCGGAGTGTCAAGAAATCCTTGCTTGCAAAGGTCTGGGAGAGAGTTGCACTCTTCGAGGAACGGCAGACCCTGCCATGGTGCTAGCCAATAGTTGGCTCTTCCTTAACTCCTCTGTCTCTGAAGGTCTGCCCCTGGCGCTTGGCGAAGCTGCACTGACCGGTGCACCTGTTGTCTGCACAGATGTCGGTGCTTCGCTACGTGTACTCACGGACCCCGATGACGGCAAGCGCTATAGCGAAGTCGTTGCGCCGAACGACGCATACGGACTTGCACGCGCACAAATCAACCTCCTCGCTATGCTCGACGAATGGGCGCAATATGCAGAGGACTCTCCAGACAAACCGGCGCCAATTCTACCACATAAGCCAACAGCCCAAGATGTGGAGATCATCACCCGCCGCATGTACGAGAAGACCGAACAGCGCCGTAAACTCGGTATGATGGCCCGCACGATTGTGCAAAAGTCTTTCGGTGGCGAACGCTACCTCCGTGAACACGAGCAGATGCTCTGGGTCGGCAAAGCCTGTTACGAAATGCTCGGGCTCGAGAAGCGCATTCCTCCTCCACCGAAGCACCCCGGCCGTATGCTCTCGCTCAAGCGCAAGTCTCGCCAACCTCAGTACACAGACACCGCCTCAAGCAACGTCATTGACCCCCAACTCGAGAAAATGCAACACCCCCGGCCTCCGCTCGCACGCCAGTTCTCCGCCGCCACGTCGTTCTCTTCGATCTACATCGACGAGCCTGCCAGCCCATCGGACGCCATGTACCGCGAAGACTCTTGGGGCCCCGTCACACCGGATTCGTCCTTCTACCCCAAGTCTAACGCCTCCACCAATGACTCAAACTTCAATTACTCTGCGCACATTCCACCCCCGCCACGCATGTACGCGCGAACACAAGCGTCAAACCCTTCACCTGCAAGCTCTGCCGTCGCTATCGGGAAACGGCCTGTGCAGTACGGCTATGGCTACGGGCATGCAGGTGGCTTCAAGCATGTTCCTGCCGCAGTGCCGAGAATGGATCCGCGGAGGAGCGCGCTGTTGAGGCAGAGTATGGTGAGTGGGAGTGCAAGGAGTAGTGTCCGGATAAGAAGTCATCTGAACGAGGTTGAGGTGGCGGACTATCCGATGGAGGGGTATGGGAATGTGGTTGAGGTGAATGGGGGTGTTGGGGGTGAGCTCGGGGGAAGGATCTGACATGATAAGACGGTGGAGAACGGGAGGGATGGGGCGAAATGGGGATGGGGCGTTTTTGGCGTTTGTAAAAGTTGAGTTCTTGTTCCTGATTGCTTGGCATTTTGGGTGTTGGGAATAGGGGTCACACTCATTTGCATGTCTGAGGTTGCATTGGTCCAGAGGATGGCGTTTCAGTGTGGAAAGGCCTGTCGTTATGGCACTGCGAATGTTTGCGTCGAATATGCTACCGTCTTCACTCCATTGCCTTGGATGCCTCTTTTCGTCATCCAACGCAGCTCCCTGAAAAGAAGACCCTGAAAATGTCAGCAGCCTCTCAGCAACAGTATACAATGTCCATGTAACATTCCCATGTGTCTGGAATGGCAGCACACTCGCATCGACGACTCTCAGATTTGCAGTCCTATGCACCTTCAGTTGTGGATCGACAACGCCACCCAGCTCCCGCGCTGCCATCGCCGCCGTGCCCATGAACAAGGTACTCGCGCTATGTGAAACCGAAACCTCTAGCGTCTTGATTCATGTACTTGGGCATTGGAATTCCAATCTACGTGTGGAGCGCAGGTGCTGGCTCAATTCGCTTCTGTCGCATCTTCCAGCAATACCTCGAGTGTTGGTGATCTCTCTCCAAAATGTCGAACGATGGAAGGAAGCCTTCCAAACTTGATTCTCTACCCTGTCAGCCTGCGAAGCGCTGATTAGATCAAGTTCGCAGAGAGGTATCGCGGCTTGATGACTGGTTTGCCAAGGACATCGAGTGCAGTGCTGCGCAAATGCACGCTATCGCGCGAAAACTGCTGTGGGATCCAGAACTTCGAGACGAGGAGGCCGTTCAGCAAAATGGTTTGGATCTCTGCCGCAACGGCATTGTTCTTGAACAGCAGATCGTATTAGACTTCTGGTGAACTCATGATGGCATAGTGCTTCGGTACGCCACGCGGCGATGCGTCAATGATGTCTTGTGCCCATTGAGTAAGGCACTGTTGTGTCGCGAACTCAACTCCCGGCCCAAACTTCTCTTGAATCATTCTAAGGTCTTCTTAGTGATTGCAATTTGAGATCCTCATGCCGTCAACTGTTCATCGGCACACCACCGGAGATTACATTATCATGGCCCCTAAGTGTCATTCATTAATCTCACCTGCAGCGGATCAAATCGATACTAGAAGAAGAATGTATGGCACCATATACCGCATCAATGTGTGCGGAAGGCTGAGCCAGTCTATGTGAAGTCCAGCCTTGGCCCCAAAAAGCGGGGTGCATCCTAGTCCGCTTTGGACACATAACCCTCCTGCCCTTCAACCCAATCACTCACTATGTTATTTACTGACTATCTACAGTGACCATAGATTGCGTATCCGAGTCTAGGTATGCACACGATCATTCGATGTGGCGATCAGACGGTGGAAAGTTGGGCGCAGAGGTGCACGAGCCATGATTTTACCGCCTGAGGTATGCCGGAGCTCAATCAAAAGAACTGCCAGCGAAGTGCGCAGGTTGGAAACTGCGTGGGTTATATAAATACGCAATTCTTTCTGGAAATGAGAGTGTTGAAGAAACACAGTAGGTCAGTCACCTGCGTGAGGCGAGGGGCGAGGAATTCTATGCCAGCCGTCTCCGTTTCATTGGTGCTGGCCTCGTATACAGCCCTGACACCAAGCCTGGACACCAATTGCTAAGCCCCGCTTTAGCCCAGCGTTGTCGAGGCAGCGGCACATTGTCAGTGACGTTCGAACTCCACATCTCATGGGCTTGTGCGCGTTCATGAGCCAACATGGTCCTCGAAACTTTAGCAGCTGTAGGGCTGGCCGGCAATATTTTTCAATTCATCGATTTCACTGGTAAACTATTCAATACTGCAGTCAAGATCTACCAGTCGCAAGATGGCGCCACGCGCGAGGCTGAGTCCGATGAAGATATCGCATGGAGTTTGCAGCAGTCTTGCGAAAAGCTGAATGCGGGTATCAATAGTATTCAAGAGAACAAGCTGGCTACGCAGACAACCCGCACCTCGCTTGTAACCCTGGCCACCAACTGCAAAGCTGCAGCGGAGGAGATGATAGTTGCGCTCGAAGCATTGAAATCGAAGAAGCCTGGTTCGAAGTGGAAGAGTCTCAAAGCGGCTCTTGCGACGGCATGGAAAGAGAGCGATTTAGAAGCAATGAGGAGGAAATTGGACACATATCGGTCGCAACTCGTACTAGAACTGCAAATTTTACAAGGGTATAGTGCTCCTTTTCATATTTAGACGGACACAGTACACGAAAGCAGTGCTGATTTCTGCAGAGGAGCCTGGAAAGATGTAATGGATCGTCTCGAAGACGGAAATAAAAACATCGCTCGACAAATGGGGACACATTTCGTTGAGACTATTTCAGAGATCAAGGTTGCGCAACAACAGCTAAAGCTGCAATTCGAAGCGACAGTATCCCAGAAAGTCACTACCCCAGTCGTTCCAGAAAAGCCAGAAGTCATTCAGGCAGCCATGAGCCAATCCCCTGAGTTTGTCCCAATGGTTCAAAAAGAAGCCATAGACCTGTGCAGCAACAAGGCCGTTCTTAGCAGCCTTAGGTTTGACCAGATGAGGTTTCGACACTCCAAGATCCCTCAAGCTCATCAAAACACCTTCAGCTGGATGTACTCAAAGTGCTTCGAGCCATGGCTTGAGAGCTCCGAGAAGGTCTACTGGATCAGTGGCAAACCTGGTAGTGGTAAAAGTACGCTGGTCAAATATCTGGTGGATAACGATCAGACTCCCATCAGTCTGCGTCAATGGGCAGGGCCAGATACTCGTCTCGTGATCACAAGCTACTTCTTCTGGGTCAATGGATCCGAATTACAACGATCCCAAGAAGGTCTTTTGCGAACCCTTCTGTTCGAGATTCTACAAGAATTCCCAGCGCTGATAAAATTGGTGGCTCCTGAAGCTTGGAATGATGTGCAAACAGCAATGATCGGCCGTTCTGCTGACGTTGAAATTGTCTGGTCTCAAAGGGCACTTCTCGCAGCATTCGAGCGACTCTCTAAGATGGGCCAAGTCGCTACTGCTTTCTGCATGTTCATCGATGGCCTGGACGAGTACAGAGGCGACCAAGACGATCTCATAAAGACGATTTCGTTCCTAGAATGTCTCAATGTCAAGTTGTGTATCGCGAGTAGACCCTGGAATATTTTCAAAGATGCGTATGGCAACAAACCACACTGTCAGCTTCGTCTTGAAGACCTCAACAAGAAGGATATTCAGCGCTACGTGCAGGATCACTTGGGCACACGACATGATTTTCAAAATCTCAGAGACATGGATCATCAGGCGAATGAGATACTCGACGAAATAGTCGAAAAGTCGCAAGGAGTATTCCTTTGGGTACACCTTGTGGTGCGTTCCTTGGTGGATGGGCTACGCAATGCGGATCGCATGTCGCAATTACACGAGCGACTGCACTCGTTGCCCGCTGACTTGGAAGATTTTTACCGCCACATATTCCTGTCCTTAGATCCGTTCTACAGGAAGCAACTAGCTCAAATGTTCCAGGTCACTCTTGCGCGATCCGATCCGCTGTCGCCTCTGGCCTACTGGTACTTGGACGAGCAAGAAGATGACCCTTCCGTGGCTCTGGAAATGCCTTGCCATCTTTTGTCAACACAGCAAATTTACGTTAAAATGCTAGAGGTTCAGAAACGAATCAACGGACGAAGTAAGGGGATGCTTGAGATAACTCCACCAATCGTCGAAGGATCTAGCCAATCCAGAGTTGATTTTCTACACAGGACAGTCCAGGATTTTCTCATGACGACAGACATGCAGGAAATTTTGAAAAGCCACCAGGCAAAAGATTTTGATGCAGATCTAGCAATATGCGGTGCGCTATTGGCCGAGTTCAAAGCTGCCAATATCGGTCTATTCGGGCACGAGAATATATTCCATTGCTTCTTCAAGGCGGCAAAGTCCATGGAAGCCACCAAAAAAAGGTCACCAGTCGCATACCTGGACGAGCTAGAGCAAGCCTATGAAAAGAGTAATCCCGGCCGTCAGTGGAGCCATCTCAAGTGCCAGTCATTTACGTCGACGGCAGTTGCATACGACCTACACCTCTTCATGGAATCCAAAGGACCTAATCTCGCCTCATTGGAGAATATTTACTCGTGGTTAAGAGCTTCACTGAATAGGCAAGGCGTGAAGCCGAGAATGCTGAAAGCGATACTATCGTCAGGTCCGAGAACAGTAGTCCTTGATGCAGAAATTCAAGACTTGCTCGGAGAGCAGTTCAGACACTTGGATCGAGAAACAGTCTGGGAGACTATGGAAATTGTTTCTGCACACGCTTGCCTCAAGAGAGACAGAAAGAGACGGGATCTCTTAGAGTCGCGATGGTTTCACCGGCTATTGGAAGATAAATTGACACCCGCACAACTTGCACACGTTCTTACGTCCGCTACAAATAGCGCCCGCCAAAAAGCAGCGGTAGAGGCTAATTCCCAAAACGATGGGTTGGAACCTAAGTCTCGGAAACATTGGTGGCGGAAGATGCGACTGTCGTGAAAACTTTGAGGCATTCTGATCTTACATAATCTTGTTTTTGTTTCGTCTGTACTGCTTGCCCATCTGAACAAGATTCCGACAGCTTTACCAGTCTTACCCAGCGGACCCAATGCCCCCAGTATCTACGGTGACCATCCTATTCCTTTTCGCACCTCGAAGAACTATACGACATGCACCTCCAGACAGTCTCGTCGCTCCAACTCTCGAGAAACTATAGAGCAATCGAGCTCACGCTGAAGCTGCGCCCAAGCCTCGTCAACCCCTAAGCACAACAATTTCACTATCCTCGAGCAACACCCGTTCCAGGATTCATCAAACCCACCGATCCACCGATGCCACAGCTACCGTGCTTCATCTGCACTAGGTCTGCGCACTACTTTCCTACGCGCCCGCGATTTCGGCACCTTCACGTCTCTTCCGTCCCTCCGCTTCCCTTCCATTTGCCACCTGAACGTGGAGAAATCGATTCTAGTCCCAATCGCGCGCGCCTCTTGCCTTTACTCTACGATGATTTCCGCGTCTCACACCGGTACGTACATTCACCTCCCTGACCGTCGTTAGCCGACACGCAGCAGTCAGCCGACCACCTCAACATGCTCTACGGCTCAAGTGCACCAATGAACAACGATGACTTATTATAGCTCGAGGCGAATAGTCGCCCCAAACGAGCCACTCACATGACACACTACGCCCAACCATCATCACATCAAAAACGTCGCGTATATAAAAACGTAGCAGCAGTATGGTATAACACACTCAACACACTCATAAACAACTATGCCTCTTCCCCTTGCCCTCCGCTTTCCCCTTCCCTTTGAATACACAAAACAAGCAACATATAAAGAAAACGCCCACGCCATAACCAAGCGAATGGGGTAGCCCGTAAGACGTACGTACGTATCAAAGCAACCAACAAAGCATCGGACGCGACATCGACCAGTGGCGCACTCGGAAGCACAAACACTAGCAGCCCTTCATTCCCAGAAAGCGCCGTACCGTATCAGATTAAGACTTTCCCTTTGTAGCAAGTAGGCACCCATATCAAAGCAAGCAAGCAAACACTGTAGATCTCGCTACCGCACCAACCCATGCTCCGGAACAACAAGGAAAAAGGAGGAAACCAGACGTACTGTAGTGAGAGAAAAAAGGTAAGTAAGCTGTGGAAGGAATAGAAAAAATAGGTAACGGGTATATGAACGTTTTTGTGCGTCGGGCCGGCAGGTGGGTGACAGCCAGCCGACTGCAACCTTCCTGTCCTCTCCGGCGGCTTAGTCTTCGCGGCATGCGGCCAATAGTGTATACGACTGTTCTCAAAGATTCGACAAATAGATCCGGAAGAGACTCGGCTCCTGTACAGAAAGTGTTGCAGGGGCGCCGGCAGACCTCAAGCGTGGTAGCCGACGAACCCTGGAGCGTGAGGCCAATCTCTAGTTGGCTTCAGCTTCTATATCTCCAAAGCCAAACTCGGCCCCTAATGAGCCAAAGCCGGTCGAGTCATCGCCGACATGAAGGAAAGAATCGAAGTCGAAATTTTCCAGAGTGTTCGAATCATCGAACGCAAGGCCGAGGTTGTCGAACGAAGGCTGCTATTCATTAGCTACAATTGGTGGAAAGTACATCTGGTGACTTACATCTTCGTTCACACTGAGTTGACCAAACGCCCCGGGACCGTTGTCCATGGGCGGCGGCTGCTGTTGCGCAGGTTGCTGCGATTGAGCGGCCTGGGGAGGCTGCTGTTGTCCATTCGGACCACCGAAAGACGACTTGGGATGTACCGGTGTAATCGGAGCGGTCGGAGTCGCTGGTTCTTCGCCACCGGAAGCTGCCGGAGTCGCACCTGTTGCCCCTTTTTTGTTTGCGGGCTTCTAATATCAATATCAACGATGCTCAGAGGGGGAGATGTAGCGCGCAACTTTACCTTATTGTCTTTGGTGTTCTTCTTCTTGGGGTTCCCTTTGTTGGATTGTGAGGGCGTTGGGGGCGCAGCGGGCTGGGAAGGCGACGGCTCTGTACGAGGCTGCTCACCAGCGGGTGCTGGAGGAGGTGGCATCTGGCGATTCTGCTGAGGGTTGGCGCCCATGGGTCCCATCTGCTGCTGTCCTGGCATCATTCCGGGTTGGCCTTGCGGTCCACGCCAAACGACACCGTTTTGCATGGCGGCCATTTGATTCCTTTGCATCATCTGCATTTGCTCCTGTGTTACCTGTCCATTGAACTGAGGATGCGAACTTGGAGGCCTCATCATCTGCGGGTTCATTCCGTTTGGATAGCTGGCGAACTGTGGGGGCATTCCCGGAGGCATGGTGTTGGGATCGAATGCTACACCAGGCGCAGGGGAATTCCGTTGTGGTTGCATGGCACCTTCTGGCATAGGCGATCCGGGGAGACCTTGCGGACCCATGCGTGGGGTGGCACCCTTCTTCATTTGATCACTGGGGTTAGGCGAAGGCCCAGCTCTGCTGCCCTGGGGCGACATATTAGGAGGGAAGCCAGGGCCCTGTGCGTGTGGACCAGACATGCTGTCTTGCTCCTGTCGGGCCATTAGTAACCGCTTCTTGTTCTGCTGCTCGAGCAGCATTAGCTGCATCTGGTAGTCCTGCAGCGCATGGTTGCCTTGGGGCGGAGCGCCTCCAGCAGGCATGCCAGCCGGTCGCGGTTGGTTGCCGACAAAGATCTCTCCCTCGCCAGGCAGGCCGGACTGGTTCATCGGAGAACCTTGTGCGACATTGTTCATCCCCTGATGGTTATTGAGCGCCACTCTCTGTTGTTGGGCCAGGCTTTGGGCATATACCTCGATTTGCTTTTGTTGCGCATTCTGCCCCTGCTGGGCGAATTCTCCAAACTGGTTCCCGGGCATGTTACCCGCATTCATTGCACCTGCAAAGGGCATATGGTTAGCCTCGGAGCCAGAACGATCCATGTGCGCTTGCCGCAAGCTTTGGCTGTGTGCGAGCGCCGTTCGAGGGCTAATGGAATGGGTACCTTCAACACGTTGACGCTTGTTTGGGGATCCTCCGTTCTCGTTGGAGCCGGGCGACTGAGGCCGTTGTCCGTTCATGTCCATCTGCGAGCCGTCTCGTTGCATCTGTGCCGACATCATGGCCTGGTCCTTCAGTTGGTTCATGTTGGCCATGGGATTGCCGTTCCTATAAAGCGTGAAGTGTGAGCAAGTACGCGGTTTCCTATGATGTGAGGAAATACTTACGGACGGTTGTTCATGGCGGCGGCACGCTTGAGGTCGTTCGGAGGGGCACCGTTTGGCATTGCCCGCAGCATGTTTTGGTACTGGACGCCGTTCATACCACCCTGCATCATCATGCGCTGGTTTCGATTGTCATGCTGAGCTTGCATTACGTTCTGCGCATGTCAGTCGGGTGAGGTCCCGCATAGGCAAGGTGCACTTACACGAGCATGCGCGATGTACTGACTTCCCTTGCTCTTCTTGCCACGGGCAGCGCTAAATATGTCCCAGAACTGAACCCACCAGTCGAGCAGGAACGACGTGTCGGTATTCTGGTTAGGCGGCATGTTGGGCTCAGGCAGATCTCCTGGACCAATGCCATTGACGTTCCTTCCGCTCGGACTAGACTTTGGCTTCAAGTTGACGGTCATGTCGGCATCAAGCATAGCCTTGGCAAGTTTATGGTTCTCGGTCCGGATGAAGTAGTCGTAGATGTACGTGTTGAGCTGGTCGCGTGGATCGAGAAGCGGGCGCTGGCCGTTACCCATGACGGGTGTGCCATCGAGAGGGCCTGCGCCCGCGTTCATGTTGGCCATCTGAGCGGCCATCTGGGGGTTCTGCATCGCGACAGGAGGTGGTCAGAGGCGACTGTAGCAGACGCCAGCAAAGTACGTGCGAGTGGGGATGCGCGCGATAAGGCGGCCTGGGTGGATTCGGGGTGTCGCGATTATCGACCCTCGGCGCGGTAGCTGGACGTGAGCTAGAGCTGCATGGACCACAAGCCGTGGCGACAGTGTTGGGTGCAGTGGAGGGCCGCGATTGCTATCTCGTGCGGCGCGGGCGGAGGGGCGCGGGACGAATGCGATGCGATTGCGCGCGAAATGGATGGGGGTGGTTGCGCGAGTGGTGATGTACGGTATGGATGGGGAGCGCCGGCGGAGCGCAGCAGGGTCTAGCGATGGCGTGGTGAGCGAGGAGCCTGCGGCAGTGGGCAGGCAGGCTGGCACACGGGGCGCGACACGGTGTGATTCCTGATGACCTGCGGGCGCCGGGACGTGGGCAGCGACGCGCAACGAGTGCTGGTTTCGCGGGCGTGCGGTGCAGTGGGCAGGCCGCCGAGATGGGCGCGATGGGCGAGGGTGGAAGTCAGCACGGCGAGAGAGTAGCGGGCAACTGCGACCTCCACGAGGGGGGCGGCCAAGGATGGCAGGCGCGCCAAGGGAGTGGCACGTGACGTCGCTATTATTGGGTCTCCCAGCCTTTTTATTCTCGCCACACGATTGCGCGTCTACGGCGAGGTGCAATTTGCGACTGCGCTGCTTGCACTTCTTGCATCACATTATTTGCACGTCTCGGATGGCTGTGTTGGTGATGGGTTGGCTACGCTGTCAGTCATCTGACGGGGAGACGACGTGTAGTGGAGAGCTGTAGCGCCCGGAGGCCCACAACGCCGACCCAACCCGCCCTACTTTTTGCACAGTGATCCGCACAGCGCATCCCTCGGTCCTGCATCTGTGCTGGTTCTGTGCAAAGCACTGTCTACATGCCTGGCTGCGTGGTTCGACTCTAGGAAGTGGGTGTCTCACCGGGCCCCACAATTTGCACTTCGCCCAAGTGCACTACCGGCCCGTACGGGGAGCGCCGACGAAGACGCGCCCAAGTGCAATTCTCTACCATGATAAGCCAGGTCCTCCAACGCACGCATCTATTGAATGGGTATTCGCCTTCCCTTGGCCGCTCCACAGCATCACGCACTCATTCATCGTCGGGGGGCATTTCGTCGTCGATGTAGCGGATGAGCGATATCCGCATCTCGGTTGTGTCGTTGCCGCGCAGTACATCGCTGGTGAAGTGCGCCTCCACCTGCATGTGCACCTATGGGTGGCTCAGTCTTGACGCGACTGTACAAAAACAACGTGCAACGTACCATTTCTAACGCGCCCCTCAGCACACCGACAAGTATGTTTGAGAACCATAGCTCGTCCTGCGCTCGGCCGTCGTCCGGCAGCTCCACAAAGTCCGCCAGCGGGTTCTCCTCAAAGATAAGCGAAAACTGCTTGTTGTCGCTCGACCAATTCGTAATTGTCGGCGTGATGTTCAGAAATATCTTGAAGCCGACCTGGTGCGCCTAATGAGTCTCGCTCACCCCAAGTGATGCTGCGGGATTACCTTTGATATCATCTCGGCCACTTCGCGGAAGTTTGTGCACGCCGGCGCGCTCGATTTAGCAAGGAAATCCTCGATCAAACGTAGACCGATGTTGTAGCCCATACGGTCCAGCTGCTTGTTGACCTCCGCGTAGTTGAACTCGTAATCCTTGCATAGCTGCGCGACTATCGTTCCGTAGGTGAGCGTGACGAGCTCGGCGCTGACTTTGTCGACCCGCGTCCTTGAGGGTCAGATTAAATCCCACGCATGGAGGTGGAAACTTACTTCCAGACTCTGACAACGATTAGCGCATGCCACGGGTGTACGCTGGGCAGGGTGGAGCTCACTCCTCGCCCAAACGGCCGGCCTTTGATGAAGCCATCTCGCAGAACTCGGCGCCTCCGTATCTCGAGCAGCCAGAGGGTCCGTGGGCGTTGGGTCTTGAGTTCGGCGTGTGCGGGGTGCTTTGGAGTCGTCGATATAAGGTTAAGGTGGTCGAGGCAGGTGCTGAGTGCTCTACCTCGCAGATCCAGGTTACTAAGCCAGCAGCCTCGCGCTAGCACGCGGCGCATGCTCTGAAGTTTACAATCGCAGCGACGACTGCCTGCGGTCCAGCGCCTGATATTTTCGCATACCGCACCGCCCAACGACCGCACACCAACCGAACACCCTGATCCGCTGGAAATGTCGGCCGAGAAGCGACCCGCCGCCGACTCGTTCGGCTCTACCCAGCTTGTCAAACGCGCAAAGCCAGATGCGAAGACCAACGGGAGCTCTGCGGTGACCGTGGCCAATGGCTCAGCGCAAAATGGCGCGCTCATGCACGCGGTATGTTCGGCCTCGACTGCTCCTGAGAAGCACATTTGCTAAAGATGCCGCGACTGACAGGCATGATAGGTCCCGCGCGGCGGCGTGCTGCAGTCGCCTGTGATGGAATTGACCGGACACAGCGGGGAGGTGTTCGCAGCCCGGTTTGACCCTACTGGCCAGATTATTGCATCTGGATCTATGGACCGCTCAATATGTCAGTCGACCTTCCGAGTCAGCTACCTACACAAGCTGACGAAATGCAGTACTTTGGCGGAGCTCTGGAGACTGCGACAACTACGGAATCCTCACTGGCCACAAGCAAGCAGTACTGGACCTGCATTGGTCGCGCGACTCGAGAGTACTCTTCTCTGCGTCCGCCGACATGCACCTGGCAAGCTGGGACGTGGAAACCGGTGAGAGAATACGGAGGCACCCCGGCCACGAAGAAGTTATCAATTGCATGGACGTGAGCAAGCGCGGCGAGGAGGTGCTTGTCAGCGGCTCTGACGACGGATACATTGGTGTGAGTTGACTCGTTTGAAGCTATTGGGGTATTGCTAATTCAGAAAAGCTCTGGGACACGAGAACCAAGGACGCCGTTAGTTTCATACCGACCGAGTTCCCCATCACAGCGATAGCCTTGTCCGAGGCTGGCAATGAGCTCTTCACCGGTGGTATCGACAACGACATCAAGGTCTGGGACCTGAGGAAAAAGGCGGTCACCTATTCGCTCTTGGGCCATGCCGATACCGTCACGTCGCTGCAGCTGTCGCCGGATAACACGCTCCTGCTGTCCAACGCACACGACTCCACGGTTCGCACGTGGGATGTACGGCCGTTTGCGCCTGCAGACCGAGCAGTAAAAACATACGATGGAGCTCCCACAGGGCAGGAGCGCAACTTGCTCAAGGCAAGCTGGGACGCAGAGGGTAAGCGGATTGCAGCTGGTAGCGGAGACCAAAGTGTAGCCATCTGGGATGCCGGCACCGGAAAGCTTCTGCACAAGCTACCTGGCCACAAGGGAGCGGTGAACGACGTCCGCTTCCACCCACGGGATGAACCTCTCCGTAAGTCATCACTTTTCCTTGCGCTGTGGCGCGTGATCTTTCTCCAAACTTGCGCTTCGCATCTCGCAGGCCAAGGTTTCAATACTCCGAGCGCGATGAGTGCAACGAGCGGTGAGCACGATGACAAGCTTCCAAGCTACCAAGTTTACATCATGGCACGCGTGTGAAGCGGCTTGAGCGTACTCCGTGGGGCCACCTTACTCACGTTCCTGGTTCAATCGCACAATAATGCCAGACAAGTGGACCGAGCTGACTTGGCGATCTCCAGTGGTCTCCGCATCTTCAGACCGCACGCTCCTTGTGGGGGAGTTGGCGAAGTGAGCAAGTCACCGCAAAGCCTCTTGGCTGCGGCTCTTGCAGCCCACCAAGATGGCGCAAAGCGTGGCAAGAAACAAAAGGGCTTCCAACGGCCCTTCGTACGATCACCGAGGCCCCGCAGTGTCACAAGGGCGCTGCTTACACACTGGATACGCCGGTGCGACATGCAGAGTTGGGGACCAGGAAACCTGAGGAAGCGAAACGTTGGCGACGACGCGTGCAGAACGCGCACATGTAAATTAGCTGCAGTGCAACGACACGGTCCCTATGATGTGGAGGATTGTCAACAAAGAGATTTGATAAACACAATTTGGGCGTTCATGCCCCTTTTGACGGACGCGTGCAATCGCAGCGTTCATGGGGTCTGTTAAGGAGTGCGCGCTTCGATGCAGGTTGATTGGAGTTGGGGTGTTCGCATTGTTTCGGAAAATCCCACGACGGTCCAATGACAAGCCCTCGTCCAGCCGCATCCACAACGCGCAGACAACGCAACCCTTTCCGCTCAATCCACGACGAACCACGCTCAAAGCAGATCGCAATCGCCGCTCGAACTGCCAGACGGCCCGTGGCCCCGCGGAAACTCGCAGTGCCATCGCGTTTCATCATGGGCGAGGCCACAGTCTGATACGCGAGCTGTTGCAGGCCATGGCCCGCGCGCGCAATGCTTCAACCCCAGAGCTCACGACCACCAGCAGGCGTCCTTGCAGCGGGGCCTCGTGCGACTTGCGGCTGCACTCTGTTCCCCACGTTCCCTTTTCCTCCCATTAAGCCCTGTGTTTTTCTTATCCTCTGGTCGTTCGTTGTGCGTAAGCTCTGCTGTTGACCATCAGTTTCGCGGCGCTTTTGCCAGACTGCTTTCGTTGGCTCAAGAGCGAGGCCGGAGTGCAGTAGCTCGCTGTGAGCTGTTGGACGTTGGTTGTTCGACGTGTCGGTTTGTGAAGAGCTTGTGGAACTCCAGCCAACAGTTCACGCGTTCGACATGCATACCTCCTCTTGACATACGGACGGGCTCCAGTCTTTCTTATCTTCTATTCGTCTTTCTTCCCTCGTACCGTTCACCTTCTGCCGCACGGTCGGTTCTTCCATCTATTCATTCGCCATCGCCCGGAGCAAGGAGCAGGATTCTTTCGGACGGCTGTCGCACCCAGTATACAAGGGGAAAGCACAGAGCTAGGACACCAGATACCTATATACACAGACTTCGGACAGAGCCCACGCGCCCCAGACGATAATATCAACACGTCAAAATGCCTATGCCGACATTGTGGAAGTGGTCGCCACGACCAGAACAAACACTAGATGGCTCGCCGGCTTCGCAGAGCTCCTCGCGCTTCGGCGCCCTCCACTCCAACGTACGCTCCATGATCAACGGATCCTCGATATACTCGCGCTCGCCCACTCTCGGCGGAGACGCGAGTCCCAAAACACCCTTCATGGGCTTCTTTCGCCGCGACCACTCCCCACCCGCGCCCATCGACGTCCATGCCGCCAACGAGCCATCTCGAGACTCGAGCGACTCCCGCTCGCCACTCCATCCACAACATACAGCAGGCTCCTACATGCGGACTATCGCGCCGCTCCAGCACCCACAGGAACCACCAACCGTGTATCGCCGAAACTCAGATGTGCCCGACCGCCACCCCGCAGACGTCCAGCTCGACTACCGAGGCAGCGTCGACCCCGAGACGGAGGTCCTCAGCGACGAAGTCCAGCAGCGCCGCCGCCGCCGCCGCCACAGGCGGAGGAAGCACTCGCACCCACGCAGCCAGCGCGCATGGGTGCGTCGCAAGCACGAGAAGCGGGGCTGCATGCCGTTCGTGCGCGGGTCCGCCGCGCGCGGGAAGCTCATCGCGAGCATGATCTCAGGTCTTTTCCTCGCGACCGTGTTGGCAGTGTGTAAGTGTCTCCCTCCCATCCTTCCCTCTCTCCACCAACAAAACAAGACCTAACGAAGATGCAAAACAGACCTCGTCCTCGCCCTCACGCGCCACGATCTCGGGCAGGAAGTCCACGTCCTCTTCATCATGATCGTGCTCGGCACCACCATCTTCTTCTGCCATTCGCTGATCCGGTTATGCATGCTGATTCTGCACCCGCCCGTGGAGGACCCGGATCGGCCGAGCATCCCCAATATGAGCGCGCCGGAAGGCTTCGTACCCGTGCGCCCGATCCGCGTGCATCTCGCGCGCGACGAGGAGCTCGCGGATGCGTATGCGTCGTCTGACGATGAGGAAGCCGGGGATGAGCGCAGGGACAGAGAAGCTACCGCGGACGCAGAGAAAGGACCCAAGCTGCCACCGCCGGCCTACGGCCTCTGGCGCAGCAGCGTGCGCGTCGACCCGAATCTGCTGCACTGGCAGCGCGTCGAGTCATCTTCTGCACCGCCTCAGATCCCCGGCCGCGACTCACGAGGCTCGTCGCACACCGCGAGCAGGGCTGGGAGCGTGTCCGGTGCTGCTGTGGAGGCACCGCGGCCGCCGTCGTACATGTCGGACGACGGCGTGGGCTACGCTGTCGATGCGGCGCCGAGGAGTGTCGCGCCAAGCCACTCGGGTGTGAGTGATATCCATCCTGCATGGCGGCCGGGGTATGCGGTCAGTGAGGTGCCGACGGAGTGGCCGCGGGGGGGTCGCGCGTGAATGAAAAGCGGTGCTTGCGTTGCGGGGTTTGAGTTTATGTTGCATTGCGTCACTGAGCGTTTGGGCGTGTTGTATTAAAGTACTTCGTTGTGCATTTGTGTTTCTTGGGCATGTGTGAGGAAGGCGTCGGTGGGGGGTGGTGTGTAGGATAGGGGATGTGAAGGTCGAGCATATGGACTTTAGCGTAGAGAACAAAGCGCAGTAGAGTGTGTATGGGCTTCGATCGTGCTAAATGAGTGTGAGATAGACATGCTCAATGTGCTGTTCTATCCCAGTGTTACAGCCCGACAATCCAGGTCGCCTGTTCTAAGAGTTGGTCTCGCCAGCGGCAGATACACTGACGCCATCCTGAAGACTGAATAAATCCAAGAAACAGGACTGGCGGCGTAACGCAGATGTTTTGTAGTGGCTGTAGTCGCCGTTGTACATCAGGGTACGATCCACTAAGGCTTCACAACGCGCGTTCACGTGACGCAAGTAGCCCTTGGGCACTGGGGCGGCTGGGCATCCAGTCATCATGTCGTTAGTGGGGCCCAGAACTCCCTACACCACAGGTGTTCTCCATCAGTATAGACTAGTAAATTACTGTTTGTATCTTTGAAGAGTTCCCGATGCAGTGATATGATCGAACCTGTGTTTCCTGAACAGCCGAATGTCTAGTACATGGCGTTCAAAGTTTGTTTGTTTTGCAACGCGAAGCGACTTCCCTATAAGTAATGGGTAGAGTACCACAGCATGCATTGGAAATTGGGTTCCGCCCAGCTTAAGTAATGCATAAAGTAGCAGATTGACCTTCTCTTTCGGAGGCTCCGATTGTGCCAAGACTAACATGTATACCCGCGCCAGTATAAGCAGCTCTGATCCATTGGATGAGGCTCTGCCCAACCGCCGAAATTCATCTTATTCGTCGAGACGTGGTATGGCCCAAAATTGGGCGGCATGGTCGACATCGTGTACTCGATCCACTTCAACCCCCTGATTCGCTGCTCGGTAAATATTCCGCAACAGCGATCGCCTGCCACTTCTTGGCAGGACCGCCCACGCCGCCCTCACCCGCCCTCAAGCCTTGCCACTGCGGGTGCTTCATTCGAACCTCTCCACTTCTCATCCAATCTTTTCCTTACATTTAGCGGATGCCCTCCTCCGCTGCCTTGACTGATCCACTGCGGCTGGATGCTCGATCTAGGAAAGTCTTGACACTTACGCCATGCAGGAACGATCTCCCTCTGCCAAGCTCCCCTACGAGAGACGAAACGAAGCATACTGATCGCCCGAGATACTACATCCAGCCTATGGCTGTTTCTTTGCTCGCCTCCAGCCGCGCAAATTCATGCTCAGCGCGCCCAGCCCTCATTAGCCCGGAAGGGCCAGTAACAAGAGCAAACCAGCTTTGATATAGACATGTCCTCCTGCCTAAAAGAACGATGAAACACGCAAACAGCCTCTTGCGCCATCTCGCCGGGGCAATGCAGCTTCAAGCGACCCAGTCAGTTCAGCCTTGTAGTTAATTAGAACTCCACTGCATCTGTTTGTACATGCCAATCAGGTTTGCAACTGATTGCCCCGTCAGGTGATTCTGACGATCCCAAGGTCGACATCATGTCCTGGGGTAAGAGGGACATACTTCATAAATACCTGCCTGTTCCACTATGGATTTCTCTCCACCGCCTCTTTGAAGTACTTTCTGGTCTTTCCTGGCTAGTCCATCCATTCGTTCATTCACTCATTCATTTGCAATTGCCACTCGTTCTCTTCACACTCCGCTGGTCTCGAACCCTTGTACCTCAGGAAGATGTATTCATTCAAAACAGCCCTTGTTCTTGGAGCTGTACTGCCCGCAGTACTAGCGCAATTCAGCGCAAAGATCAATCGCATCCAGAATGAGAATACCATCGCGGGCTCATGGGTTGCTCGTATCGAGGAGAATGAACTCCTCGAGGGTGTTCTCTCTACTGTCCTAGACCTCGCTGGCATTGAGTTCAAGGAAACCTACTCCGTTGGCGGTGTCAAAGGCTTCACTTTCGACGGTGACGACTCCATTCTGGATATTCTCGAGAATCTGGGCGCCATCAAGTCTGTCGAGCCTGACTTCAAGATGTGGGCTTCCGTCCCCGTCGGCTTCCGCACCCCTGCTGCGGGCGTGTTTCCATTCGCCAACGGGACCAACGGAACTCTAGTCTCGCAGAAAGACTCCACGTGGGGCCTTGGTCGCATCTCTCATCGGGAATCTGGCGTGGAAGAGTACATATACGACAGCTCTGCTGGCGAGGACACTTACATCTATGTCATCGACACCGGAATCAACACTGAACACACCGACTTCGGCGGCCGGGCCACCATTGGAAAGAGCTTCATCGCCTCCTCCGACGGCGAAGACGACCAAGGCCACGGCACGCATTGCTCCGGAACCGCTGCTGGCACCAAGTTTGGCGTAGCCAAGAAGGCGAACCTCATCGGCGTGAAGGTCCTCGGCGCAGACGGCTCCGGCAGCAACTCTGGAGTCCTCCGCGGCATTGAATGGGCTGTTAACGACGCGACCGAGAAGGGCCACATCAACCGCACCGTCCTTTCCATGTCACTGGGCGGCCCCTTCTCCCAAACGACCAACGACGCGATCCAGTCCGCCGTTGAAGCGGGTGCCTTCGTCGCCGTCGCTGCTGGAAATGAAGGCGAAGACGCATCCAACTCGTCTCCCGCATCTGCGCCCCAGGCCTGCACTGTCGGCGCCATCAACGATCGCGATGCCATGGCCTCCTTCTCCAACTTCGGCGAGCTCGTTGATATCTTCGCTCCGGGAGAGGAGATCACGAGCGCGTGGATCGGCGGATCAACCGCCACCAACACTATCAGTGGCACTTCGATGGCGTGCCCGCACATTGCTGGCCTCGCAGCGTACCTCATTGGACTGGAGGGCCCGCGGTCGCCGGCGGAGCTGTGCGAACGCATCCAGTCGCTCGCTACGAAAGATGCCATCACGAACTCTGTTCGCGGCAGCCCGAACCTCATTGCGTACAACGGCAACGGCGCTTAGACGATGCGCTAATATTTCTTATTGTAATATGTGGCTGCAAGTCAGTCGTTTGGGAGTATGAGAATATGCACACGGTAATCTTGTACGACTCTGTAGGGCATCGCAATGATTGCCATGGCCACGTCGATATCGGCAAGGACTCGATGTGGTAGTGTCTTGTAATTTGTTCTGTGGCAGTCCGTGGTCATGATCATGCTATCGTATCAATCATATATCACTTTTGGCTCGTCCACCTTTCTTTTCAAACAGGATCCTACGATGCACCCATACATCCCAGTCTATAACCAAACCCAAATTCAAGTAATCTCTGTATGCGATCATATTATCGCTGTCAAGTGCTGAATGCATATAGCACAAGGAAGACAGCGGTAGTAGTGTTGTGAGACTCCGCCAAAAGGCCTCCGCGCCATCAGCGACGGTACGGACTTGATCCATGGAGTCGTCTTCGGGCTGTTTCCGAGGGCTTTTGAAGCGGGCTGAACCTGCCAGGCTTGATTTAGGACTCACACATAGATGCGCCGAGTGCTGCTTTCCATTAAACGCTGTCGTTCTTGACATCTTTGATTATGCATTCGCACACTGCTACAGTAAATGCTGAATGGAGACGAATCCAAGAGATCGTTTTTCAGGTCTGTAAGATTAACCCTTGGATGCATGCGTATCCAGCGGATCGCGAACGATAATGTTAGTCACATTGGTCAGAAGAGCGGCCATGTAGGCAGCTGCGCTCATAGACGCATTGCCATCATACCAGTGGTTGCTCTTTAGGGTCGATTGCCGTCTTGCTTGCTACAACTGTGAAGTACGTGCAGTAAATACGGCTCAACGCGTAAAGAGTCAATGCGTCTGGCTTCAATGTCTGAAGAGGAGAGAAGTTGGAGAATTTAGGCAAGAGATACGATGAGTAGCAGTTATATTCTCGAACCCACCAAGAAGCATCCGTACTGGTCCACGGTAAGGATGACCCTAGCAGTAAAAGCAACGGGCGACACTACTTCTACGATCCTTCCGGCGTCGGCGTATCCCTCTCCTCGATACTCGGCAGCGAGCTTCTCCTACTAGCTCTTCTCGGCTTCTTCCTCTGGTCCAGGGCCCTCAACTGCATACTCGTCGGCGAAGGAACCAAAGGCTGTTGCGGGGTCCTTTCTTGACGCGAGTTATTCCCGGGAGCAGCAATACTCGATAGCCTCTGGATGAGCGGCACATTATCGTTGACTTGATCACAAGCCCACGGCCTGCCATACTGGCCTATGTCCATCTCGTCTTCGTCTTGATAAGGGGCTCTCGTGGTGTGGCCGCGGTCATGCTCGAACACTCGAGAAACGCGGATGGGATCCGCTTCGTTGAGAGTGCGAATTGTTCTTTTCTGGCGTCGAGCGGAGAATTCGTTCTCGGAAGGCTCTGGAAGAGTCACGTCTAAACGGCCTGCGTCATCGGAGCTCCGGCTCGGTCTAGGACTCGTTCTCAGGCTACCCCCTACACCGGATGTGTAGATACTTCCGGCCCAGATAAGTTCATTGTCGTCGTAGGCCACCAAGTCATGACCAACCACTCGTAAGATGGGCTTGATCTCTTGCTCCGCTCCAGCCTGGGCCAATATGGGAGCACCCAATGCTTTCCCCGTCTCAAGTGGTGACAAAGTAACGTATCGATCGAGCTGCCACCATCCCCAGGACAGTGACAGAGCGGCTACCATGCCCAACACCATTACTGCAACCGATGCGGCCAGCCAGTTGAAGTTCGTAACGTACCAAAGCTCTTCGCCCGTGTACGTCATGATAAGATGCTGCCGGTCTTGCCGGTCTTTTCGTTGCTTGGCAACAGCTCGCGCAGCTCGGAACGTGTAGGTCAAAATCCGGCCCATCACGTATTTTGTTGGAGACTCCCACAGCAACGGGCAGTACTTGACGACGTTCTCTGGATACTTCGAACCTGGAACAACTCCAATGTTGGCAAAAATGTCGGCGTAGAAAGCATTCAGATCTTTTCCAACTGACGGGGCGTATCTTGCTGGTTTTCTTTCTTTCGGAAGATCCAGAATGCTTTTCGTAGCATAGATCGGTCGAAGAGCATCCAGGAGGCCTCGCAACGCACTTGACGTGCCGTTGGCATTCGAACTGTTGGATATGACGATGGGACCTTCAATGACGCCGACTATGTCAGGTATGATCCTGTTGTCTTGGATGTTGATCGGATACTGCATGATAGCTGGTATCATGCCGTAGGTCTCAACAGTCACCGTCGCGATGCAGTTGTCGTCAACAGCTGATACAAACCGAGATTCCAGGAACAGTATTGGCACACCAAAGTCGCTGTTGATGCTGAGGTCGATGCTGAAGAGTGTCTCGTTCAAGTTGGCTGGGTCAAGCAAGTTCAGAGTTGTGGATCTTGTGGTGTTCCAGAGATTTAAACCAGCTGCTTTGACAAGGCCCCGGCATATCCCATTTTTAGGACAGAGAGGATTCGTCGCATTGCTTGTGGTGAGGTCATCGCCGAGGAAGACTGCTTGGCTCGTAGAAATTCCGTTGCTCTGGAAAACTCCTTCCAAATTGAACCAGCCATCAGGGATCTCAGACGCGATGTCCATATTCAAAGTTACATCTCTTGTGGCTTCATGGAGCTCTGGTCGTGTCGCTTGCTGTAACATCGGCCCTATCACAAGCTTCGTCGCAAGAACGAGCAACGCAGCCACCGCAACCCTCCTTGCCTGCCAGCCTGCCAGAAATGCTGGGATGAGATTTTTCAGGGACGCTCCTTCGTACACAAAATGGAGACGCTCGAGTGTGGTACCGTGTGCAATGCATCTCCACCAGATGACAGCGACGCCGGTGGAGAAGAGCGCTCCCAGAGCGATTACATATACACCGGCGAGTGTTGCGAGCCAAACGGCCGGTCTGATCTTCCATGCTTGGATAGGATCTTCGTGCGAGACCAGCAGTATACCGACTGTTCCTGAGATGCATGCGACCAAGATCGATAGAAGGGACAGCACTAGCAACGGCTGCTTGTGTGTTGACCGTGCCCCGGGATTAGCGCCGTAGGGTTTGATGGATTCCTGTGAAGGCGGACCTAGCAGCGTCCGAGACGAGTTGCCCGCCATGGTCGTGGGGCGAGCTTCGCGCAAGGCATTGTTGGGGTTAGCATCGTGAGAAGGTGCGCAGCGCCATATCTAGTCGCATCGAGCCGGGGTTGTAGCCTCGATCGACTAGGCAGCGGCCGGGCTGAGTAGCCCGTGTCTGCAGCCACAAAGAGGCTCATCATTCGAATATAGACCATGTGTTGTGGTTGAAGCTGCGCTTGAACACCAATGATGGACCTTTCTATATCTCCTTCGGCGACACTAAGATATGTGTTCGGCGTCCATGTCCAGGACAAGCAGCAGCTGTGTCCATGATGCGGCTCGTCATTTGCACAACAGACTAGGAGGGCTGGGAGCGTACGTTCACAGGGCTGAGGACAGCTTGGAAGAGGGGCATCCAGCTGAGAGGGCAATAGGCTGTCACTGGACCAGCGCCGTTTACAGCAGGAGCCCAATTACCTCAAACATCAAAGTGTTCAGAGCCTCTCGAGGCGCGGGATGTAGCCGCACTCTCTCCAGAGACGCACAATCATCCACAAGGGCCCCCAGATGGAATCTGGCTTCAAGTGTAGCCCACCTGCACCATTTCTCTCGAAGGCTTGAGAGCTATTACCTCGTTATTCCAGCATCAGCACCCTCAAGAATGGGAATTAAAAGACCCCTCCATAGCGATTCGCACCCAAAATAGGCCGCGTCGGCGCACGATGCCCGATGTGCAGAATGCCCTCTCACAGGCCCGCTTTCCTCGTATCGCTCGTAACCGAAAGCGTGGCGGCGGTCGGGGCCAAGTCGACGCGAATCACGACGATCCGCATCAATGGCACCCATGGATTGTTCTTCGTAAGCATGAGCATCGATGTGGCGTGCTATCGAGATGATGTTAGAGCGTTGGAGGAGTATCGGTCGTTCGCTCATGGGGTACGAGCGCCAAGCCACCAATCAGCATCAACCATACCTTCCGGAGCCTCTGGCTTAAGTCGCACACTATTGACTCCGCTCCTGAGCAGAATCTCCATTAGACCAAGCATAGTCGCTGCTTTTCTCCCACCATATTCGACTACCATTATCGTGAGGCTGACCAGACGCCGGGACTAACCAGGTCACGTGCCCGAGGTCCATCTTGGCCCAGAATCGACACTTGTAGGAAGCACCGTTGTGTCGCTTCCATCAATCTGCCACTTGGAAGACACTAGACATCTCCTCAGTCCATATGTGTGGCCACACCAAGCCAGTGGTGATTTGCGATTATGTATTCCTTTTATCGGGAGCCCACCAATGATCCAACACCTCTCCCTTCAACCTCTATCAGAATCGAGAAAAGTCGCGAGACATCCAAATGAGCTCAAAGCGTGACTCTCCACGTGACCCTGCCCATAATTTTCTCTGGTTGTTCTCATTGAAAAGGGGAAAACAGTTTCAATATAAGAGGCTTGCTTCGGTTGGCGCTTTGCACTGTTGAAGTGCGGGCATCGACACTCACTACCGGCCATAACGACTTTGACAATTTACATCACATTTATCTCGCCCTAGATACCTGTATACAATCTTATGAAGTCGTTTCAGTGACATCTTACGCCTCCTTCACCACCAGCCACAGATCCATCTTCAACCCACCCAAGCCTGTGCTTCGGCTATAAAGGTAACCAGCATGGATTCAGCATCTCTCGCCAGGATCCGTTTCGAGCATTCCTTCGGTTAATCCGTAGTGTCTAGCAAGTGTATATTTTAGCGCCTAAACCCCAATAGTACGACGAGCCACAAGTACCTTCGTTAGCTTGAGAATCGTGTTATGTAGATACACCGTCGGGGTGCAGGTATTATAGTTTTGTGCTATGGTACGGCGAGAAGAGGAACACATGATTGACAAGACACGTTTCTCACAACAATTTAAAAATCCATCTCCAAAGCCGCAGCCGTTCTGTTGTACATCCTACATGCAACCAATCCGTTCGGCCAAGTGAAGTCCCTAGCGCAACGCAGGACCTTATCCAGCCAGCCTATTCCATCCCAACCCCCAAAATCAATCCGAGAAAGACACCTTTGCCATTCGTTCACACGCCCAATACCCTTCAGCTCCCTACGACACACCACCAAACCTCTCTGTCCGTCCCCCCCTAAAGCTCCGATAAAAATCCTCAGTAGGATCGCTGCCAAGCCCGCTCCACCCATTCGCCCCGGCGCGCTGGCCCTCCCTCTGCGCCTGCTCAATTTTCTGCTGCAGCTGCACAGCGCCCGAATCGATGAGCTGGAGCTGCGCAAGCTGGCTGTTGAGCACGCGGACGACCTTGGTGAGCGGGTCGTCGGGCTTGCCAGACTTGCTGAGCGTCTGGGATGTGGTGTTGATCTCCTCGATCATCTCGGTGAGGTCCTTGTTGAGCTCGTTGAGGCGGTCTTGCAGTTTCTCGGCGAGCTTGTAGCTGGGGGTCATTAGCAAATGTCGGTCAAGAGATAAAGAAAGTTGACTTACGTTCGCTCGCGCTCTTGGTCAGGTCCGCGCAAACTCTCTGCTCGGCCGCCGACGCCGTGGATCTGCATCATCTGGTCGATCTCCTTCTCGTACTTGTCCAAGAAGTGATCCAGCTCGGCCTGATTGTCCTCAATGTGGGTCAGATGCTTCTCAACTTCCTGCGCATCACGCTCTGCCTGAAAGGTCTTTGAGTAGAGTGACTTGACCTTGTCCGAGTTCTCCACCAAGGCGCGGTCCCATTTCGCCACTGTGTTGGCCTGAGCCTGGAACTCTTTTTGGTACTTGGACAGATCGGAAGCCCAGCGGGTGATGATTTCGTCCATTGACTTGTTCTTGAGACGCGACTGTGCAGAAGGTGCCGGCCCTGCAGTTGAGGTTGCGAAGCCGGTCTTGGATGCGTCTCCAGAAGCCCCTGATGCAGCACCAGGGGCGCTCGCGGTTGGGGCAGCGGTTGATGTGGCGCCTGGTGCAGATGAAGCTGCGGTAGAGGCTGCCGGCTTGTTGAAAAGTGAAGGGGCTGCTGTGCTTGTCGTTGTGCCACTCGGTGCTCCAGTTGATGTGGCACTAGGAGCGGGTGCTGCGCTGCCTTTGTTGAACAGAGAGAAGTTAGACGTGGCCGAAGTTGCACTCGGTGCAGCTCCAGACGAGGGTGCTGATGTTCCGGTCGCAGCTTGTGACGCTGGTTTCTGCCCTCCAAGCCCGGAGAACAGGGATGATCCGCTTGTCACTGCCGGTGTTGCAGGCGACGAGCCTACCGAGGTCGCTGCGGGCGTCGCAGGCGTCATTCGACTGAACAAGGAATTGCTAGAGCTCGAGGTTGCCGCCGGGGCGGCGGTGCCAAACATGTTCGACGTGGTGGAAGGCGTATTACCGGTGGACGCTGGTGCGGATTTGTCTCCCCCAAGGCTGAAAGATGGTGTCTTGGTTCCTCCTAAGCTAAGCGCGGGCGTAGCACTCGCGGCTGGCTGAGAGGAAGCAGGCTGCCCGAATCCGAAGGTTGGTTTGCTGGCCGGGGTAGCTGCAGGTGTTGTGCTACCAAGACTGAACAAAGAACCTTGGGCTGTCGCTTGCGGCGCTGCACCACCGGCCGGCTGCGCAGGCATGCTCTTGTTCGCATCCTTGGATGCATCTTTGTTGCCAAACCCACCGAAAAGGTTGCCTGCTGGTTGCGCGGGAGTCGAGCTAGGGGCCGCGCTGCCAAAGAGGCTCGGTGCGGAAGACGTGGTTGCGGGCTTCGCAGCGCCGCCGCCGAAGAGAGACGAAGCATTGCCTGCGCCCGAGCCCGCTTGGCCAAACAAGCTACTGCCTGGCGGGGGTCCTGCGGGTGTTGTCGAGGGGAGAGAGAAGGTCTTGTTCGGGGCGGGCGTTGCAGCGGGCGTGGACGATTCTGCAGTCACGTTAGCATTCGCGCACCAATAACCCTTGACCGATGGTATTGTCCATAGTTCCGGATGTGTCAGGTCAGGTACGCCTGCCAAATGTCGTCGACATACCTGCGGGCTTGCCAAACGCGAACGACGGTGCCGTTGCCGTGGTTCCTCCCGTTGATGCGCCAGAACTTCCTGTAGCAGCCCCGCCAAAGAGCGATGGCTTCCCTGCTGCCCCAGCATCGCCACCTGTCTTTCCGAACGAGAAGCCTCCCGAAGCCGGCTGCGATGCGCCGGGCGTAGCCTGCGCGTTTCCGAAGAGGCTGGGCTTGTTGGCAGCGGGCGTGCTGGACGCGCCTCCGAACAGATTGCCTCCCGAGCTCGCAGCGCCGCTGCCGAAGAGAGGCGGGGCTCCACCTGGTGTGCTGGTGCCCGAATTGGTGTTATTCGCGCCGCCGAAGAGGCTCGATGGGCCGGGAGTCGCTGCACCGCCGCCGAACAGAGGCTTGTTCGGCGTGCTGCTGCTGTTGGTTCCGAAGTTGAACGCCATGGTGCGCGAGCTTTCAGCTTCTGCTTGCACCCTGTGAGCTTCGTGTTGAGGTCGAGCTGAGGTCGAGCTGTTTACCTACTTGTATTGTGCCAGAATGCGCTTTGTATAGGCAGCGATGCTTGAGACCAGGCGCAACTGTACAGTCAACGCAAGATGTGCAACTGGCTGGTCGCGCTCGAGATCGCGTACGGGAGCGTGGACTCAGTTGCTGCGACAAATTAACTTTCTGCAGCGTCACGGTCGCGCTGCAGCTCCAAAGTTTGGATCTCCACACGGAAAGCACGAGCCACGCCGGTGAATTGTCGGTCCGCCGCGCGCTTGCCTGAGCTCTAGAACGTCCCCCGCTGCCCGTTGCCAACTACGAATGCCTGCGACTGGGCGGCGTCGTTTCTAGATTACGCTTGGATATCTGCACGTACTACTCAGTCCTCTCACCGCCGCTGTCTTCACCTCATCTCTTTCCTTAGCCGTCCCCTGAGCTTCACGACCAGCTCCCTCTATTTCAGCTATTGTCTAAGCACCTTTCGCACTCAGTCGCCATGGCCGACGAACTGGCCCCTCCGCGCAAGAGCACCGAGCTGGAGGACTCTGGCACCAAAGATTTGGGCAAGCGTCAAACTTTCGTTCCAACCACATGTGTCTAACTAGTGTACAGCCGCCGAGTCGTCCAGTGACGAGCACTTTTCCGACGCTTCTGAAGGCCGCGTTGAGAAGCCCGACCGATCTACTGCCACGTCGCCTATCCCCGTCACCCGCGTGGAGCGCGTGGACGATGAGCCCAGCTATGGCGAGGTCCCAGGTACCGAGGCCTACAACAAGCGCACCCAGGATGCAGTTCCGGACGAGGTCGAGATCGTGCCTGAGGGCCAGCGCAGCCGCAGTGCTTCCAGGGTCAGCATAAGTGACCGTCCGTACACCCCGGGAGGTACTCAAATCCCCAAGACGGTGGTCGAGAAGATAGACCCAGACACACCCAGCCACGGTGATGTCCCCGGCACGCTGGCCCATGACCTTCGTGCTGCAGATGCTGTCCCTGATATTGTGCTGAAAGCCCCAGAGCCTCCAGAAAAGGCACCCGAGGGTACGTAAGGCGAGTTTTCTTTCTCCCTACGTACGATTGACCGAAGAAGGGACGCCAACCGCCTCCATAAGCAGATCTCCCATGAGCTCCGGCAGCGAAGACGACGACAACGCGGACGACCGAGATGCCTCTGCGGCTGATGTCACGGATGGTGCATCGGAAAATGACGACGATGGGTTTGGCGACGATTTCGACGACTTTGAGGAGGGCGGGGAAGGGGACGATTTTGGGGATTTCGATGACGGGTTTCAGCAAGGCGAGGAAGACGCCGAGACTACATTTGACAAAGCCCCAGAACAGCCCTCTATTCCCGCCCCTTCTATGGGCCCTGTAAGTGAGAAATATTCAATCCCTGGTCTACAGTCTACTGCAGTTCCTGTCCCACAGTGATGGATTGGCTGACGGCGTTTATGCGTGTAGCCTGTGCTTGATTTCGAAGACCTCGCTACCCTTGAAGAGATTGCCATTGCTACCCAGCCCTACATTGATGAAATCTACCCATCCCAGAAAGAGATACCCAGCATCACTACGAACCAAGCTGCGCTCCGCTCAATCTTCCTGTCGGAGCGGAGCGAGTCACTGTGGTCCCAGCTTGTGGCGCCACCTCCACTCCAGCCGCCTGACTGGGTCCGTTCGCGAATACGGCGGCTGTTCCTGGTGTCGCTGGGTGTGCCTGTCGATCTTGACGAGATCTTACCAGCATCGAAACAGAAAAAGTTGGTCCTTCCGTCGATACACATCCCTGGCGAGAAATCGCCAAGACCTTCAGCAGATAGCCGGAATGGGGCATTGGGTAGGGTGAAGAAGGAAAATGCCTCATCGACGTCGGTAGATTCATCAGCTTCCAAGTCTGGGAAACGGAAAGGGCCGCCGCCGCCGCCTCAACTAGACATCAGCTCTACAACTATGCTGTGCTCGACCACGGATGCTGCGCTAGGGAATTTCACAGACCAGGAGCTGCAAGCCCACGTGAAACGGCTTGAAGAACTCAAGGAGCGGGCGAACGAGGTGTTTGACTACTGGCAGAAGCGTATGGAGAGTGCACTGGGAGACAAGGACGCTGTAAGCATGCATGGGTTTTCCGACCATGATCGAGCGCACGCTAACCGCCTTCTCACGTCCAGTTCGAGCAGGTTATCGAGAGCTTGGTCGCGCACGCCAAGAAGCTGAGGTGAAGAGGAGTTGCCGACTTTTGTCCTTGTGGCACGAATTGCCAAAACAACGGTTCAGGCCCAAGCTGGGCGCTGGCAGCCCACCGCTGGCGACGGATGCGGACAGAACAGGCATGCTCCCAGGTGGTGATGACAGGGCTAGCCCGGGAAGCCACGTGTCGGCAGCCACACGTGACGGAGAAATTCACAGGCAGGATAAGGCCGACGCCGAGCTTATAACGGCTTCGGCTGGCTGTGAGTTTGTTAGGTGGGGACGGCTAGGGCCAGCGATGCCGTAGCGGCTTGGACATGGTTGCGAGGTGGTGCGGTGGGGCAGCGTATAGACAGCGTGCTCGCGACAGGCTCGGTTCGCCAGACCGTTTGTACTATGTAAACCTCTGGTGAGCGCATAGTCGGGCGGGCACGACGCTGCGCTCGAGAAACGGACTACAGTTGAAACTGAGGTGCATGATGATCGGGACGCCCCAATCTCCACGGTGTCTGTCGTGAATGTCGATCAAACAGGGGCGCTTTGACGACGCCCGCACGGTGAGGGTGCCTCCCTCCTCTGGGGTCGCGGAGGACAAGGGCGGAATTCGACGGCGTCCCAAAGCGGACAGGATGGCTGCTGCACACCTGCCCGAGCCAAGTCGGGATCGCTCCGCGACGCCGGACGGAGAGGAGCGGAGCCACTCGGCACGAGGGTGCAATTTCTCACGAAGTCAGGGTCCTGGGTAGCGTCACGACGGCGGCGCTTCGTCTGCTGTAGAGCCCGCTCTTCTGCTGCATCAAAGGGTGGAAAGGTGGGCAGCTCGCCCGCCGTTATTTGCCCCCTCCTATTCTTGTGCATGCCGCGGACGCGGGCGTGCCGGGCTAGCAGCCATCGCCGAGCAGCCGTTCGTCCAGTCCAGCACCACGCGCTACGCAGGGCCCCATGTGACCGCATCGCACCCAGCAGGCAGCGCGAGTCCGACGGCCTGGCAGAAGCAGATGCGATCGCTCGCTCGTGCCTCTGCGCGCCTGTGCTGCTGTCTTGCCCTGAGGAAGGATTCGGGACCCGGCGCCCATTACATCACCGGGCGCGGGCCTCGCGCGCCCGCCGCGTGCAGTGGTAGCGCTCTGGCATGCGAGATGAATGGCTGTCTAGCGGCGCCCTGTTTGGGCACACAAAGCCAGCCAGCACCCCGTCCTCTGCGCCACCTGGGCGGAACGCGCTGGCAGGCTAAGCTCCGAGGCCTGCAGCAGCGACCTCGTTAGATGGGCAGGAAGGGCTCAAGTGCTCGCTAGGACCAGGTAGCGCAGCAGGGCGACGACAGCTTTGTACAAAGATTATCGCCGATCAGCCTGCATGCTGCTCCGCATCTCACTGCCCGCCGCGAGCCTGCTTCTCGAGTGTTTCCTGTTTCTGCTTCTCTCTCTCTCTCTCTCCCTCTCTCTTTCTCGACCTTCTCTTGCATCCTGCTCCCGCGCCTGCCCGTGACCCCGTGAAGCAGGCTGCATGGGCCTGGGTTCATTGATTCCATCCTTTTGCCGCGATTCGCCCTCTTGCCAGCCGACCCCTACCCCTAGCACCCACGCCAACCTCTTTGATACGCGCGGGGGCCTCCTGGCCAGAGCCTACATCGACAGCCCTCTTCGGCGACGACAGCAGCACAACATACCCGCCGTCTCGCCGGCCCGTTCTTCTGCTTTCCCACCGTCGACGCCGCTGTTTGCGAGAGACTGAGCGTCGTGCTGCTGTTCCCCATGCGCCGCGGATAGCACATCCACCTCCATTCGCTTCCGCGATGACCACCGAAACCTACACAGGGCTGACAGCCTTTGTCAAGAACCTCGCCCGATCGCACGACCCGGGGCTCGATGCCTCCTTCCGCGCCCAGATCGCCGCGAATGACGCGAAGCAGAGTCCCGTGGTCCTCGCCGGCCCGGATGACTCGCCAGAGAAGGCTGCCCTCGAGAGGGAGCTCGCCGCTCTTGCTGCCCGCGTGCAGTACCTCGAGGCCAAGGCCAACGTCGTAGACAACCACACATTCCCCATGACCCCCGGCGAGCCTACAAACGCACCGCTCATGTACGCTCCTTCCTCCGCCCCTGCCACCCGCAATGGCGGGGCCCCCGACCGCCGCGGATCCGAAAAGCGAGCCACCTGGGTCAGCAACTGGCTGGCTGCGAAGCAGGACAGCGGCGACTCTGACCAGCCCGCCGCTGCGCTCACCGAAGAGCAGCTCAACTACTTGCGGGACCACCTGAACAAGCAGGCCGACCAGATCAAGAACCAGCGCGAGCACATCGACAACCTCAGCGCCGAGGTCAACAAGCAGCTCAGCAACCAGAACACGGCATTCGCACATGGCATCGAGGACATTGGCGCTCTCAAGCGAGAGCTTGGCAAGCACCAGCAGGCCAACTTGGCCTTCCAGAAGGCGCTGCGGGAAATCGGAAGCATTGTCACAGCTGTCGCTATGGGCGATTTGAGTAAAAAGGTTCTGATTCACGCGAAAGAGATGGACCCCGAGATCACCCTATTCAAGCGCACCATCAACCGCATGGTGGACCAGTTGCAGGATTTTGCTAGTCAGGTCACGTTCTTGGCCAAGGAAGTCGGAACCGAGGGCAGACTTGGTGGCCAGGCAGATCTCCCCGGCGTCGATGGTATTTGGGCTGAACTTACCGATAGTGGTACGTCTTTCGACTCCCTCGTTCTGGCCAATGCTAACGCGCGACACAGTGAACGTCATGGCGAAGAACCTCACCGAGCAAGTGCGTGAAATCGCGATCGTCACCACCGCTGTGGCGCACGGCGATCTGAGCAAGAAGATTGAACGACCCGCAAGAGGAGAAATTCTGCAGCTACAACAGACAATCAATACCATGGTGGACCAGCTGCAGTCGTTTGCAACCCAGGTCACCAAAGTCGCCAGAGATGTCGGTACCGAGGGCAAGCTGGGTGGTCAGGCCGAGATCGCCGGAGTCAAGGGCATGTGGAACGAGCTCACGGTCAACGTGAACGCCATGGCCCAGAACCTTACAACGCAAGTCAGAGATATCGCACAAGTCACAACTGCTGTCGCTCAAGGAAACCTCACACGGAAGGTCGAAGCCGAATGCAAAGGCGAGATCCTGGAACTGAAGAACACGATCAACTTGATGGTAGACCAACTGCAGCAGTTTGCGCATGAAGTCACCAAGATTGCCCGAGAGGTCGGTTCGGAAGGTCGACTCGGTGGTCAAGCTACCGTGCACGGTGTCGAAGGAACGTGGAAAGACCTGACTGAAAATGTGAACGGTATGGCCATGAATCTCACTACGCAAGTGCGAGAAATTGCCGAAGTCACAACCGCTGTCGCTCGAGGAGACTTGAGCAGAAAGGTCAAGGCCGAAGTCCAGGGTGAGATTCTGTCTCTCAAGATTACCATCAACACCATGGTTGACCGTCTGAACACATTTGCGCAAGAAGTGAGCAAGGTGGCTCGTGAAGTCGGCACTGACGGTATACTGGGCGGCCAAGCACAGGTCGACAATGTGGAGGGCAAGTGGAAAGATCTGACCAACAACGTCAACACTATGGCCCAAAACCTTACTCTGCAAGTGCGAAGTATTTCCGAAGTTACCCAAGCCATTGCCAAGGGTGACATGAGCCGAAGAGTCCACGTCGATGCAGAGGGTGAAATTCGGCTCTTGAAGGACACTGTCAACGACATGGTTACGCGTCTGGACGACTGGTCGCTAGCTGTGAAACGCGTTGCTCGTGATGTCGGTGTCGATGGAAAGATGGGTGGGCAAGCCGACGTTCAAGACATTGACGGACGTTGGAAGGAAATCACCACCGATGTCAACACTATGGCCCAGAATCTGACGTCACAAGTGCGTGCATTTGGCGACATCACCAATGCAGCTATGGAAGGCAAGTTCACGCAAATCACCGTCGAAGCATCCGGTGAGATGGACGAACTGAAGAGGAAGATCAACCAGATGGTGGCCAGTCTCAGGGAGAGTATCCAGAGAAACACTGCTGCGAGGGAAGCTGCCGAGTTGGCGAACAAGACGAAGTCCGAGTTCCTTGCGAACATGTCGCATGAGATCCGCACACCTATGAACGGCATCATCGGCATGACCCAACTCACCCTCGACACAGACCTTACCCATTCGCAGCGCGAAATGCTGACCATTGTCCATAACTTGGCTGGTCAGCTCTTAACGATTATCGATGATATCCTGGATATCAGTAAGATCGAAGCGAATCGCATGGTCATGGAAGAGATTCCGTTCTCGTTGCGAGGTACCATCTTCAATGCTCTCAAATCTTTGTCCACAAGAGCAAACGAGCGGAAACTCAATCTCGCTTACGATGTATCGTTCGACGTGCCTGACTACGTGGTCGGTGACTCTTTCAGGTTAAGACAGATCATCCTCAACCTAGTGGGCAACGCTATCAAATTTACTGAGCACGGAGAAGTCAAGGTCGCTATCTCCATGGCTCAAGATGAACAGGAGACTGGCCAATACGTCTTCCAATTTGCAGTGTCGGACACTGGCATAGGGATCCATGGCGACAAGCTTAATCTCATTTTTGATACCTTCCAGCAAGCAGACGGATCAACAACCCGAAAGTTTGGTGGCACTGGCTTGGGTCTGTCCATCTCGAAGCGACTCGTAACGCTTATGGGTGGAAGGATGTGGGTCACATCGGATTACGGAAAGGGAAGTGTGTTCTATTTCACCTGCAAGGTCCGTGCCGGAAACCCAGATCTCAGCGCCCTTCAGCAACAAATAGCTCCCTACAGCAAGCACACCGTGCTGTTCGTAGACCAGGGCCATACCCGATTCTCCGAACAGATCGAAACCCATCTGAAGATGCTCGACCTTGTGCCGATTGTTATCAGCTCCATAGACGAAGTACCAATTCCAGAGAAGCCTACTGCGGACATGGGCTTCGACTGCGTTATCGTCGACAACGAACAGACGGCAAGGGAGCTGCGCAACGCCGAGCGTTTCAAGTATATTCCGCTGGTAATGCTTACGCCTCGCGTCTCAATAAGCCTTCGGTCAGCACTCGAGAACGGTATCTCGAGCTACATGACCACGCCTTGCTTGCCAATCGATCTCGGCAACGCACTCATCCCAGCGCTCGATGGTCGAGCAGCACCACTGGTGTCGGACCACTCAAAGTCATTCAGCATCCTGCTCGCTGAAGACAACGCAGTCAACCAGAAGCTCGCCGTCCGCATTTTGGAGAAATACCATCACCGGGTCACCGTGGCCAACAACGGTCTCGAGGCCTTCGAGCACATTCAAAAGAAACGATACGACTGTGTTCTCATGGACGTGCAGATGCCCGTCATGGTAAGCCCTCTTCCCCTTTTCATTGCCACCCAATCTAACATGATCCCAGGGTGGATTCGAAGCAACAGCCAAGATCCGCGAATGGGAGCGCGACAACGCCATCCCCTCGACCCCCGTGATCGCCCTCACCGCGCACGCCATGGTCGGCGACCGCGAGAAGTGCCTTGCCGCCCAAATGGACGACTACCTTAGCAAGCCGCTTCGCCAGAACCAGCTCATCCAGACGATCCTCCGCTGCGCGACCATGGGTGGCCACCTCTACGACCATGAGCAGCGCCACAGCATGGAACACATGGCTGCGCCGGACCTGTCGCTGCCCTCCTCGGACGCGCACTCGCCCAACGGCACGCCGTCCAAGGGCCCGCACCGGCGGCCGCATCTTGAAGCGCGGGGGTTCACGGAGCGCGGAGGTGGTGGAGCCGGGTCGCCGAGCCTGCTTGCCGCGGATCAGAGCGATCCAGTAGATAGAGTAAGTAAACGGATCAAACTCAAGCGTGGATGGGAGTGTATATAATGCACACGCTAGTCGTCATTTCAAAGAAGAGATTGCTGATTCGTGGCTAGCAGCTTTTGCTACGGAGTCATAGCAGTTAGGATCTGAGAGGTCTACAGGATTTGAAAGTGTGATTATGGGTGGCAGGAGGAGATAGACAATGTTTGTCAGCGAAATCTGTGTGCTTTTGCGGATACCCCGGGTCGAATCGGATGAATGGAATCAAAGCGGAGAGTGAAACGGCGGAAGCCGAGCTCCGCTTTCTCACTGAGTGAGCTAGGAGGGACGAGAATTGGCATTTCTTATGCAACATTGTTCTGGCGTTTTGGCTCTGCTTTCTCCTTGCTGTTTTGGTCTTGCTGCACGCGCGTATCGTTCGTTCTTCGCGTTTTTTTTTTTGTTTTTTTTTTGTTTTTTTTCATATATCTCTACAGAGTGTCTTTGAGGAAACAGACGGCATGGGCGAGATGGAAGATGGGTACTGCATCTAGTGGCGTTATGTGTGGATTTGGTCCCTCAGGATAGGACGAGAGTGCCAATCGAGGGCTACGACTGAAAAGAATCATGCGCGCATGGACGTGACGTCGGTGACAACTCAAGACTTTGCTACACTATGCTTCAATCTATCTCCCTCCTGTACAGCTAGATAATCCAAAAGACGCCCGCGCAAGCTTCGAGTATCCCCCCTGAGGCTGGCCGTGTGCTCATGCGAGAGGAACTCGGTACCTCCCTCCCCCACGTGTGCGTGACAGTTGCACGCTTACTTTCCGTATTTGGCGGCGTCTTCGTCCAAGGTGCGCTTTCCGTACTTGGCCGCGTCCTCGTCCAAGGTGCGCTTTCCGTACTTCGCGGC